TAACGAATCATCATTCTAATGACCTCTAATTGTATTTACATGTTAATATCAATATTTAGTGAAATGGATTAATGATTTTGATTGTTGTTTGTTTGTTTTCACAAAGATCAAGATGATTATTATTTTCATAGATACTAATTGATAATAATCATATTATTAATACTTTGGTGATGGTGATTAAGTTGATTATGATTTAAATACAGTTGAGATTAACACCAGACAATCATGATTAACAAGAGATGCTAATCAAGGTTGACAGATGTTAAACATTATGGTCTAGAGATTAAGTTAATTAAAACAATAGTAATTAAAATTAAAATGATTAACCAACATATCCTAACAATTAACTAACAATAATTATTAATCACATTGTCACCAAACACTCAATGAAATAATAATAATAATAATCAACATGATTATCTGATAACCTTGATTAATATTTAATAACGATAAAGTTTGATGACCTGATGATGACTTTCCCATTATTTTAATTCATATTTAGTATTAAAGGTTTTTACCTAAATTGGACTCTCTCTCTCTCTCTCTCTCTCTCTCTCTCTCTCTCACTCTCTCTCTCATCTTCATCTTCATCATCATCTTACTTTTTGCTTACTATTTTCAAGGTAAGGCTTCAAGAATTTATCTTTTCCTCTTTCTATCATCATCATCATCTTGATAGCCCAGTTAAAGTAAGCTTATTATTACCTGTAATTTGGCAAAGGTATTCCTACTTATCCTTTTGCTTATTAACTCCTTTGAGAAAAATTCTTGCCTCATCTTTGGTTACCTGTGTGTGTGTGTGTTTTTTTATGGTGTTTGATTATTTTAGGTTAAAATCTTAAATGTAAACACAACCATCACAATGTTGAGTATTTTTTTCATCTTCATCATTTTTATCATCCAAGTGAAATGATGATGATCATCGTTCTTCTTCTTCTTCTTCTTCTTCTTCTTCTTTTACTGATTCATTAAAAGGTGAGGTTTAATTGCGAGTATTTCCAATAGTAAATAGTAGTTTGTTGTACTATTAATGTTGTTGTTTTTTCCTCTTCAGAGTCTCTCTCTCTCTCTCTCTCTCTCTCTCTTTCATCTTCTCTCTTTCTCTCCGATGGTGTTTTTTTTTCTTTCAAGAGAATTTTTTTTCTTCTCTTTGTGTCACTTATCATCAAGGTTATCATCAAATCTCTGATACCCTTGATTGTTGACCTTTAATCATTAAAGTTAATCAAGTAGTTTGATTGTAATCAATTTGGATTGTGAATCGAAATGAACAAAAAAAAATTGTCAAAACTTTTCTTTCTCTCAGCGACCTCTATCGTTCCAATATTATACTAATATTAATTTTCTCTCCAATTTTTCAATTTAATTTTCTTTCTTTCTACAACTAATCTAATTAAAAGATCAATTAACACATTTAATTAAGTAAAAACGATGAAAAAAACAAATATTATTCACTTATTCACAATGTAAACCAATACAATTAACCAAATGATTGACTTTTATTTTCACAATATCAGAATAATTAAAAAGCTATTTAATCATTTCTAGTTTATGATTATAAATTAATTTCCACAATTATCAGATGTGAATTAATTTGATTACTGATTGCGAATCGTTGAATAGATTTTTTTTTACAATTAACAAAATTTCTTACATTTAAATGTAACAATTTACTCATATTGTCAGTAATCAATTCAGCAAATTACTTGAAAAAACTTTCATTGGTTTTCAATCAAGTTTACAATTAGCAATCTAATTGTTGACAGGTAAATCAATCCATGGACAATTAATTTCAAATACTAATTAACGATAGTTAAACTAAATTTGTTTCCAGTAATCAACTAACCAATTATTATTATTATGCAATACAAATGATAATAATATAAAAATAAATGTAAAACTCAAATTACCAAATGATTTAACCAACAATTAAAGTTGAGATTGAAATTTACTCAATTAATCAACATTAAACTTGGTTAATTATCTTGTGAAAATGATATTAATCTTATAGACTAATTTTCAATGAGAAGTTAATTGTTGCTTACAAAATGAGACATCAAATGATGATGTTGATGACAATTAATGAATTTCTGGTTAATCATCATCTTACCTGAATCTTGTCATCATCATTAACCTTTAATGATGATGAATTTAAGTTAATTAAAGATAGAAAGTGAAAATTGATTTAATGATCAACTTACTTGATAATATCAAGCCCTTTGAAAAATTTGGCGATATCTTGATCAGATGATTGCCAAGGTAAACCTCGAGCTCGAACTACAGTATTAACGTCAATTAGTTCATTTTTACTGTAGATTCCGGGTTCTAATCGTTCAGAGATTGTTTCATGATCAATGAAGGGATGACCATCGCTAATTAGACGGACAATTATCTTTGCCATGTTCTGAATGCGTCTAATTGAATAATCAGCTGACCCATCGGGTTCTATTGATAAATCTGAACAATATCAATACGAAATGATTAGTTGACTTGATGAACGATTAAGAAAAAGAGTAAATTGGATTGAAATTGATTAATTTACATGTTAACATTTCGTCGATTGTTTGAATATCATTGTTTCGATAGAATTTTTGAAATTCTTTCCTCAGATCATGGAATGAATGAAAATAATCAGGTAATGTTATCCCTTTTTTACAGGTTTCCGGGTGAATGACTTGACGTAAGTGCAACTGACCATCGGTGATTAATCTGAATGATCGAGCTCCATCTCCTTCTAGTTTACTTTTAGCATATTGATCAAACTGTAATTCAAATAATTTATTGAAAATCACAATTTAATCACAATTTAGATTACAATTATCTGGTAATTTACTTACCTCTTCAATTACTTGTTCCAAGGGTTGACCACTTTTAATGAGATCTTCAGTTAATCCAAACTTAGTTCGGGCCACACCGGACAGTACATTTGAGTATAAATCGGCACTTCTTGGCTTTACATATTTACAGTGAACAGCAACAACCTGATAAATTGATCAAATAGATTCAATTAGTTAATCATGATGGCGATAATTGTCATTCAGAATATCAATTGGTAAAAGTGTATCGAATGAAAAGAAAATAACTTTTTCTCTCTATAATTTGATTCATGATTTTCACTTGAATTTTTCATATGGAAAACTTTTCCTCAGCATTTGTAATTTACATGATCATCTCATGATCAATTAAAATACCATATATTAAATTGACCACTTGCATAAATTGTGATCTTATTGATGATTAGTATTGTAGAATAATTTAATCTTATATGTGACTAATTAAGTCTCTTAGAGTCTCATTAGAGGTGCCAACAAGTGGAACCGGAAATGTCATTCAAATGTACACTCTCTCTCTCCCTCTGAAGAACATGTTAGATTTTGAATGTGTCACAATTTTGAAGGTCAAACAAGAAAAGGAAGTTATCAAGATGATACCTTGTAAGAGTCTGCGGTCATCCAGAGCGATTGTTATCTCATTCACTTGGACAATCAACAATTTATCAAATGTTAATCAGGTCTAAGTGAAATTGTAACTATCCTAGTTGAGATTAGACGAGAGAGAGAGAGAGAGAGAGAGAGAGTTCTCTCTTCTCTGTCTTTATCATCGAGCCACCGTCATCGACATCATCATTTCAATGAGCCTCAATTCAAATCATTCGGCTAATGACCTGGATTAAAGGTGCTTCTTAAAATCTACCTGAATATATTTCCTCTTTTAGACTATTCTCTTGTTATTAGAACTATTTTCAACTAATGGCGCTGAATCACCTTTCGCTTCACAGTTTGAGTTGGTCATCTTTTAATAACCTCAGGTAACCTTTGTTGTTATATTGATTAGGCCAATGGAGAAGCGGCAGCTAATTAAAGCCACGGGCTGAGAGAGAGAGAGAGAGAGATGATGATGATGAGATGAAAAACAAGAAGAAGATGATGATGATAAATATTATGATAAAGAGGCCTGAATATGTGAAAGGTAAGAAAATGAAAACAAGTAGCAAAGATTAAACAAGAAAATCAAAGGTATGAGATTAAAAAGATGATGAGAAAAAAGTAAAGATTTAGTTACGATAATGTGATCCTTGGTCTTTACATTGAAAGACGATATTATTACTCAAATTGCCCCAGGCTATCAATTGATTGTTGAACATCGTATTACTATTATAATTTATATAAATTATATTTTTCAAATTCTAAGAAAAATGTCATCTTTTAAATCACTTACAAGTGAATGATTAGTAATAGTAATAAGTTACTGCTATTTACTGGTCATCAAAAGCTAATACAGTAACTTTAAATTGCGAAACAATTTCCAATCAATTGATTAGCTAATTAGTTTACTCGAGTAGTTTAATTAATCAACAACCCACGTGACCCACATTATTATTAAACTGATTGTTAGATAATCATTTGCATGGGCAAGAGTGAATTAAGTTAATTGTAATAATAATAAAAGTCCATTGATTTTAATTGTAATTTCACCTTTTTTTTTCATCACAATTAAAAAAATTGCTCACAATTTATTATGAACAATTAAATTATCATTATTTATGGATTTGTTGTTATTGTTGTGATAATTTAAACGATAACTTTGTAATCCCTTATTGTTATGTATATTAGAAGCTTTAACAATTAACTAATCATATTCACTGTTAATCAACTAATTACTATCAATTGAATACTTTCACATCATCTCTTACAGACTCATTATTAACAATAACAATTAACGTTACCATTTAGAATCAGTTTTCTTAATGGATTATCGTTAATCACAATTATCACCTGAAAGAAAATTCATTTTCAATTGAATCAAATTCTGAGCATTATTAATAATAATTCATCAACAATTTAATCTCATGAAGAAAATGTAACTATTATTGTTAATCAGTGAACCAAAGTTTTCCACAATTAACCAGTAGAAAAAGTGAGATCTTAATTGTCCTTTACAATTAGTCCAAGAAACTGATTAATTACAATAAAATATTGTTCAACCCAACAACAGTAACAGTAACAATCATAATCATAACCATCATAACTAAATTAAATCTCATTGTGATTAAGTGAAATTTTCAATCGTAAATCATAATAGTAATTAAAATAAATTGTTCTTCTTATTTAACATTAATAATTTTTGTTTTCGCATTTCTAATTTCATATTAATGTTAACCTTAGATCAACTCAGTTAATTTGATTAACTAATTTATCTCCTTAATTGTTTTATCACTAATTATTACTTTGGATTAACAATTCTTACATGTTATCCCTCTGTTGCCATCAAATTAACCAAATTCATTGATTAACCTTTTGCATTTTGATTAACTGATTGTCAATCAAGTGAAATGGTTAATCTTATTTTAAGAACATCATTTTACTATCAGTTAATTAACTCTTTGATTATTGTGATATTATGTTTTCCCTCCGATCAGAATCTAATTACCTTACCAGGTAATTTAGTGGCAACAAATCAAGATGGATTATTATCATCATCATCATCACCTTCATCATCATCATCATCATCATCATCATCATTGTTATCATTATCATCACCATTACCTACACGTAATTTAACATTGACAAAATCATCAATCTCTAATCGTTGGTTTAATGTTACAAGTGATTTAATTGGAGTAAAATCATCATCAAAATTACGTTCCCAAGAAAATTATCAACAGCAACAATTAACTGGTGATAATAATGAAGCAATTAAAAAATTAATTCGTCCCTTTATCAAAGATTTAATCACTTTAAGCTCAGAACCAATTGAATCAGGTAAAAGTGATACAATCAATTTAAATGACAACAACAGTAACAATTATACTGATCAAGGTTATGATAATAATAAGGAGACTGATTTAGATGACCAATCACCTTGGGATTATCGGTCATCTTTATCCCAACGGATTAATGATTCAGCAATTGTTGAAGATATTTTCAATAGATTTAAAAATCCAATACAATATTTGAATAGCCAATCATCAAATAAACAGGTAAATTGTTTCAATTATTATTAAATTTTAGAGTCATCTTTTTTTTGTTTGTTAATCAGCTGATTGTTTTCTTGTTTCAGATGAAACCAGCAACAGTTGAATCAACGGCGACAATTAATGTTTCCAATAAAAATTCAGATTCGCGAGAAAAATTAAACAATCAACCAGAGATTATTAATGATGGAACAATTTATTACGATAACAATTGGTTCCGGAATCGTCAAGGTAACATGGAAGATTCAATGATGACCAGAGATACGACAATTTCCACACCAGGGATACCGAAAAGTGAAGCACTGGTCAGTTTAAATTCGAAAGAAATTAAAATAAATAATAATAACAGTAAGAATAATAAGAATACCAATAGTGAGAATAAAGTTGATTCAAGTAAATTAACCAAAGAATCAATGTTCGGAATGCCAGATCCAAATCGTTGGTATTACACTCGAAATGTTTACAATGCTGAGCCCACGAAATCAGGGTCAACGGAGGCCAAAATACGAAGTAAAGAAACAAAAGAACAATTTAAATCAGAACTGACCAATGGAATATCATCATCAACACCAACATCAATCGATCAACCATCGACAATATTACCAAATAATTATCCAATTTTCGATGAACAGATAATGTTAACATCACCTCATCACAATTATCTTCCTAATCCTCATCAGCCAAATCATCATCATCTTCAACACCTTCAACATCTTCATCATCATCTACCTTATCCTCCACTAACCAATTATCATTATCCCCGTTTACCTTATCATTTCCAGCATCCGGTTCGTCCTAATCTCTTTCATCATCACCACTCAATCCGACGATATCCCAAACTTGGACCAATAGCCTACTCATGTTGTAAACTTGTCTATCCAAATATTCATGGTAAAAGTTTGGGATCATCTTTAATCCCTCATGGATCATCAATCTCAAAGGAAACCTTACCAGCCTCTTCAACAACTCCTTCTGAAACAGTATTAGGATTAAATCATCAGCATCTTCATCCTCATCATCATCATCATCATCAAATTGAAACAAATTGTATCCCAATTTATCCAGCAACAGGTTATCCCTTTGGTTATGGTCCTCGATTTGTCAAAACACTTCCGTTTGCATTGAAAATATTCAAAAAAGCTTTGCTATTTGGTTAATTGTGTGACATTATTATTATTATATTAGGAAACATGGTCACAATCAATTTTAATCTAAAATCAAAGTTAGCACACTGATTGAATGAATCAAGTTTAAACTGGAATGAAAATTGTCAATTGGAATACAAAATGACCATTGAAAAGTTGGAACAAGAAAATGATTGAAGAAGAAAACAAATATAAAGATAATCAATGGGAAAATTAGTTAATCAAATGAGTAGAAAAATGAATAACCAGAGAAACATGAGATTACCATGATGATTATAATCATTTGATGGTGAGATAATTGTAACTAAAGTCTGACAAGTTTAGTGAATTAACTTAAATGTTGTTGTGCCTCGAGTAACACCAAGAATCAAGAGCCATGAGTTATAATGATTGTTTCATTGTTAATTATATGATTATGATAATAATAACACCAAGAGATACATAAACAACTTTCCATTCAACTGTTTTCACTTTTTGTCACAATCAAAAGAAAACAATTTACTAAATCATTTTCTCCAATAATTATCCCTTTCTCTCTGTATTTGTAAATTGAAGGGCTTTTAATTATCTTCAGCTCTTAATTGTGATCCATGTTAATAAAAGGTTCATCGATATTTCCATTCGTTCATCAATTCCATGAGTGTATTATTCAATATTCAGGTGATCATCATGATCATCATTATCTTCATCCTTTTCTCCTTATAAAGTGATAATGATGATTTTTTTTCTTCGTATTTTCAATTGTCAAACAATTTTTTAGAAAAGCAAATTAACTTGATCACTAATTTATGATTTACTATTAATTATCTTGGAAAATTTTGACTTTTAATGAGACGACAAATTGTCGCAATTAATGATTGTCTTTGTCTCTTTTTTTCTGATCGATTAACTTTTGATTGTTATTTTACTCTAATTGTCGTCCAATCGATTATTGGTAAAAAAATGATTCCAACGAATTCAATGTTACCTGGTTATCGAAAGACAATCAAAAGTTTTAATCGATCATTTTTTAAAATTCTTATTGATTTATCATCGGATTAACTTATTTATTTCATGTTTTTTTTGTCTTCATCTTCATGTCAATTAATGAGATGATGATGGTGATGATGATGATCTAACTATTATCTGCTTTTTGTTGACACAATTGGGACAATCACCATTGACCTTTACCGATTCACAATCAATAATAATCAACAACAATCAATAACTTGAATTGAAATTTTTTTCCTTTCTCCTTGTGAACTTGTGTAACTAAATTGATTGTTGATTAAATAACAAACAAACATCAATATAATCCAACAGATTAAATGAAATAGTTTAGGTTGATTGATCAATGATCAACAAAATTTAAACTACCAGGTCAAGAATCAATTGTTGACAACAATTAAGACATTTAAACAAAATTGAGACAAAATTCAAATTCAAATAACAAGGACACGAAAACAACAACAACAACACTAAATTTATATCCAGATAATATTAAGATAAGTTGAGATATAATTAAATGATATTGTTAATATGTTTACCTTTTAATTGTAAACTGATTGTTCAAGTTTAATTTACTTAATCATTGATGAAGCTTTTAATTGTTGTGATTGAGATACTGAGTCTATTAAGACGATTGATTTGATGTAATGATAGAGAGAGAGAGAGAGAGAGAGAGAGAGAGAGAGAGAGAGAGTATTGAAAAAATTGTTCATTTGAATTTAAGATGATTGTTTGAAATGAGAAAATTGAATTGAAAATAATAATCAACTATCGTTATCTTAATCATGATTCTGATCAACAAAATATTATTATCATCATCATGATGAACATGATGATAGTTTGAGTATAAGCGTGTGGATGAGAGGCCTTTCTGAGTATCCTTGAGATTCAATAATCAAGGTGAACAAAAAAGTTCATTGAATCTGTTTGATTTTCTCGAAGTACTCAGCCAACATGGTAAAAGAAAAGGGGTGAACTAAAAAGTTCTGTGATTCTTTATCAATCTGCAAGATAATTTTTCTAATATTAAATTAGAAGAAAAAAAAATAAACAACCAAATTGTTCCTAATGGTGTAAATATAATCAGTTAATGATCTGAATGATTAGAATCAAGAACATCAAGTAATCAAAAGAAAACATTTCAAGATCAGAATTTAAGATAAAATCGAAGAGAATTTTTTTTTCAATTTTCTTCTCTTTTCCGAACAAAATTGATATCATCATTATCATCTTCTCTCTGTGGTGATAATATTAATAAAACTTGGAAAGTTCTTAAAATAATGATATTTGTTATTCGGAAATTTAATTGATATTATATATCGATCGCTGAATTTTCTGAATCTTCAAGGATAAAATTGATTCCATAAATTAATCATTGTCTTCTTGGGCTCACTAATCACTATTATCATAATTATCTTTATTCATTTAATTATATCGTCTATGAGTAAGTTTAATTGTCTTTTATTTATCGATTTTTTTTTTAAATTTCTTATCGATTCTATTAATGTGATTCCTCTTCAGGGTATTGAATCACCTTGTTGGTGATTATTTGTTGATAAGCTTTCAGGGTGATTAAAGTAGAGATGACAGTTAATCAACTCATCTCATATTAACTAATGCGTAAGTATTTAAATTGTAACAATTTACGACTTGTGAAAAAAAAGTTTCACTTTATTCAATGTAAACTGTATTCAGCTTTTCATGGAAGTGCTAATATACCGGTTAGGTGATAATCATGATCATGGAGATTAAATCGTTAATGGTTAATGTTTATCTTTGATTGTGTCTCAAGCGAGAAGAGGTGATGAGATTGTCAGAATCATCTCTCGCTCCCTTTCATTTGTGAAGCAACAAAGAGTCATAATGAGAGAGAAAACGAAAGAGAGAGAGAGAGAGAAAAGAGAGAGAGAGATAGAGATAAATATAATAGTTTTCTCATCGATAGAATTTTAAAAAACTCGTTTTTCCCGCCAACTGTTTGCATGTTTCCTCTCTTTCTTTTTACTCTCTTTTTTCTTACTATTTATTTGTACGATATCAGAAAAAATTGCAAATGTATTTTTTCAAGAGAGTAAATGTTAACCCACACACAAAAATCATTTATGCATAACAGTTTTACTCTACCCAGAACTTTTTTATCATCGAATAGTTTTTGTTTTTCTTATTCTTTTCCCTATCCGATAATAATATCAAGTCATTTTCATCAGAATGATGATAATGATGATAGTGTGTGTGTAGACGAATCTCTTCATGAATTAGTCGATAATCATAACTTGCACTTCTCGACTTGTTCACATCGACTATCAATGGATTATCTTTATTTCCATCTCTTCATTTCGAGTGTTTATCACATTCAGTTTTCGGGTGAGGTCAAAGAAAAAAAAAGAAAATTATTCAAGTTTCTCACAGAAACAATTCTCTCTCTCTCTCTCTAAATATATGTATTATATGAAGAACTTTTTTTTTGCTCATTTCTCTTTATCATCTTCTTCATACTTATCATCATACTATTTACTGTCTTTGTAGCATTTTCATACATGTAGAACTTGTAATGGTCCGAACTTTTTCCAATGATGTAAGTATAACAAGGAAAGAGAATTGGAAACATGAAAAAAGAAATTGATGTAAGTAGAAATTGTTTTTTTCTAGATCTTCAATTTTATCTTCTTTCCCTTGATCGGGCGGGTTTAAGGCCGTTTTCCACGCTACGGGCTCAGGGGTTTGGTATCAAATTATAGCCAACGAAAAATAAGGAAAAAGATGAAATAATCTAAGATGATAAGGAAGATGAAGAGAGAGAGAGAGAGAGAGAGAGAGAGACTAAGAAAAAGGTAGGAAGAGAAAGAGAAAATTTCTCTTTGTTTATCAGAAAACGATCAATTTTCCCTTTACTATTATTTACGAATTTATATTATCAACCTTTTCTCACCAAAGGAATAGAATAGAAAATAAAAGTTTCTAATTCTAAATTTACTTTTACTCAACTTTTTCCTATTTACGAAAGTTAAACATTTGATAAACGTCACAACGAAACTTTCGATGACGATAAATCAAAATGATTCCCTGAATCTGTGACTATTATCATTTAAAACTATTATGAATTAATAAACAACAAATTATTATCAAGGTAAATATAATAAGAGAAAGACAAATATTGACTTGACTCATCAACTTATCGTCAACGATGATTAATAAACTAACTATCGTTATAATCATGGAATCAAATGAAGAAAGTAAAAAGTTACCATTGACTATTCAATGTTATGATTTTCGGTGACATTCAATGAAAAAGATTGTCAGTAAAAGTGATCACTAATTGTTGACCATCAATTAACTTACCTTACAATTGGCTACATCAATGACGAGCCATGTTAATAAAACAATTTCATCTTCATCTGACCCGAGGTCATTTTCATCTAATCCTGCGGTGACAACATAAACAACGACAAGATATTTACTGGTTGACATTTTGTTTCTAATTATTTCATTCAAGTTTAATTGTTGTGTGTGATGATTATGGTGATAATTTGATGAGGCTTTTTTTTATGATTGATGGTTACAAATGTTGATGAAAAAATAAATTGTTGTTGATTTGAAGTTTGTTATTATTTAGAAATTTTTGATTGTTATTGTTTATCACAATTAGATGATACATTCAAATGAAAGAAATCGTTTCGTTGGTAAAGTTTTGTGACACTGACACTTTATTATTATTATTATTATTATTTAGGATGATTAGTTGATTTGGTTTGATATTAGAACTGAATCAAAATTGGAATCAAATATCGATAAACAATATTAATATGGTTGTGGGCACCGGTGTGGGTTATGAGTTGATTCACTTGTTGATTGTTGTTTATTTGATTTTACTTGTTAGAATCCAATTTGGTTGAAGATTTTCAATGGACCAATACAATAAACAGAAAACAAAACAAAACAACAAAAAAAAGACAGAAAAAAAGAAGCAAAGAATTAAATGTAAAAGAGAAACAGAAAGAAACTTAAAAGATGATGAAAAGAAGACAAGAGAGAGAGAGAGAGAGAGAGAGAGAGAGAGAGAAATTATAAGACAGGTAAGTAGACAGGTAGAAGAGAGAGAAAGTCAGGGAAGAAAGAGACAAGTAGAAAGAGTGTAAATATCATCTGATGAAAAAAAATTCCCTTTCTTGGGATAATCTGTAAGAGAGAGAGAGAGAGAGAGACCAGGGGAAGAGTGATGATAAAGAGGATGAAGAGAAGGGGAAAAAAGAAAGAGAAGAGAGAAAATTTTTTAAACAAAACTGAATCTATGAATGAGAGAGTAACTTGGAGGAAGATGATGATGATAATGATGAGAAGAAAATGAAGAGAGAGAGAGACGAAAACAGGTAACAGGGGTTAAGTTAGAAAGAAGAAAAGAAAGAAAAATAAGTGAGGTGTTTAGGTGGGCGAGTGAGAACAGGTTAAGCTGGAAGAGAACAGGTAGAAAGAGAGAAAGAAAGAAAAGATAATTTTACTTTCAATTCTCGATCATCATTCATTATTTTCCATTTATTATCATGATCAGAATTGAATTGATGATATGTTATCCTGATCAATCTATTGATTGAGTTTGCGCTGAGAAGAAAAATTAAATTTTTAATTTAAATTCGTTTTATTATCATTACAATTACTAATCCATTTTAGATTTAAACGCCATCTAAACTCAATTAGATTTATCGCTCTCACTCACTCACTAACTCACTCATTCTCGTTCGTTCGTTCGTTCTCTCTCTCTCTCTCTCTCTCTGATTTGTCTAAAAGTCACTTGACAAGTTTACACAATTTTCTGTCATCTCAATGATCATCTTAACGACAAAGTTCTGATTCCTAATCTGAATCGTAATTAAGAGCGAAAAACTTTTAAAAGATAATCAATGGACAATCAATTACAACGCAAAGATGGAAAAGCAATTAACTCGTTCATCAGGTAAATTGTGTTCGATTAATATAATTGTAACAATTTCCGTTCATCGTTTCATTTCATTGAGAAGTTGAACTTTTTTTTTGTTCGTTTGACGTTTTCTTTTTGGCATAATAACAAGTTCAACTTTTTTTTTCTGGTTCATCGGAAGAGGAACCTTGAAAATATTATCATGATATCAGATTGATTGCGATGATGGAGATACTGATAATCATGATGATTAAGGATGAGGATAATTTATTTTCACTTATTACTCAAGATTTATTGGTTAATCTGATTAATTTTTGGCTCTCAGCTTTCTCAAAATAACCTTGATAGTGAATTAAAAGTTAAGGTAAATTGTTTCATTGAGAAAATCATCTTACACATTAAAGTATCGATTGATGTTTAATTAAAGTTAATTTCCCTTTTGTGTTGATTAATCATTTTGATCAATTTGATTATTATGATTGATAAATTGTTCTGTTAATACTTTTAGGTTTCCATTTCCGTCTTGAGTTTGAGGAAACAAACTGATTACATGATAATTGATTTAGTTGACATTTTTTTTGTCCAAAATTCAATTTAACTTGATTGTTTACAATTAAGTATTAATTTGATTTCTTTGTCTCTCTTTTTTTTTCTTCTTCTGTTAACTTAATTGAACAATTAAGGTTTAATCTATTGATTGATTTGATCAATGTAACATTTAATATTATGTTACTTAATTGTTGACGATCTGTTATAATGTAAAAACAGTAAAGGGAAAGAAAATTTTTTAAACAATTAAGTCTTTATGATGATCAAACATTGATTATAATTAATCAATGATTAAATTTACCTCACGAATTAACAATTCACTCAATTCATTTAACCGAATCAACGGAATTATTATCATGATTAAAAGTTCTAATTCAAGTCTCAAGATTAGAATCTTTTTCTTATTCATTTTCATGCTTCTTGAAATGCCCTCAGGGTCAAGGTCAATAGTCGGTAGGTGAAAAAGTTATCATATTAATAAATAATCAAGGAAATTAAATCAATGACACTTAGATAATTGTATCATCTTCAGATAAAGTTAATCAATTGAATGATAATCAAAAAGTTTAACCAGTTTGTGACAATTTGTATCAATGAGAAAACTTTTAAATTGTGATAACTGATAATTGTTACAATTTGATTATTATTTTGGGTTCAATTTTTTTTTTGGTGACATTTTTTTGTTGTTGTTTCAGGTAAAAAGTTAATGATAATTAAGTTGATTGTTACCACTGATTGGCACCATTTAAGGTCAGTAATTGTATATATATATATAGATAATATTAGTTAATTTCAATTGGGAAATGTTTAATTGCCAATGTGATAATGATAATGATTAAGTTGATTGTCTGATTATCCTTGAAAATTGAGCAATAAGAAGAGAGGTAAACAGAAAAAAATTAAGATGAAATTAAAAAAAACGACTAACAATTTAATGATTATCATGGAGACAATTTAAAAAAATTACACACTAGCCTATCATTTATTGATTTAATCATTTGGAACGACAATTAATGAGTAAATCATAAGGTATATAAACATGGTTAACATTACAGTTGATTGAATCAAATGATTCCTTCAAACAATTAACTAATAACAAAATTATTATAACGAGTAAACTTTGGATTGAACTTTTTTCATGGAAAAAGAATTTTTTTTTCAAAGTTCTAATCATGATCATGAACAAACTAGAACTTTTAAATTATGATTAAAACGCTAAAGTGTTAAAAATGTTAATTGTCTAATTAATTATTGTTTAATCTTCGGTTGTGAATGTTAATTGTTGATTAAAGTTTGAAAATAGTTGCGAAAAATTTAATTACAATTGTGATGAGAGCTGAGAAATTAATTTTCTTCATTAGTAAATTACTTTTATCCTAACATCAAATTAATTCAAGTGAAACAATTTAATTCAATTTATGTTATTAAACAATTAGCTAAATCACTTTTCCAACTATTTAACAATGATAAGTCGCCGACCGATTAATGTAAATGTAATTAGTTGATAATTTAGTTAATCATTTTAAATGTATGATCAAAGTTAACTGACAATAATTTAATCCAAAGTCATTAACTAATGGTAAATAATCAATTGATTGCAATTCTCAGGTAAGAAAAAATCAATTCAATTATTAGATTCAATCATTATTATTATTACTACGAGATATTAACATTGTGATTGCTACTTAATCATTAAGATCATTTAATATACAATTAATATCATGTAATTAACTTTTATCTATTATTATTATTGATTGGCAAAAACTTTTTCAAAATGATTTATTATAATGATCACGAATTGATTGTTGACAATTTGTATTATTAACCAATTTTGATTGAGGACAATTAATTATTCAGGTTCGATTTTTGTTCAGAAAAGTTTTCATCTTCTCGAATCTATTATTAACTTTCTGATTATCTCATCTTTAATTTCATGGTGGTCATAATTATCATTAACAATTAGCATAATTGTTTAACGAAACAACTAATTTAACTTTAATATTAGAAAGATAAATTTGAACTTTTCTAACGATGTTTATAAATCTACATTGAATTTTTAATTTCGTTGATTATATACCGAACAAAAAAACGATTCAAAGTTTACTTAATGCCTTCAGGGTATCATCATCTTCATCTTTATCATTATCTTAATCATGCTGAGCGATTTACACAGGTAAGACCAGATCTTTCCGAACTTGTTTTCTTCATGTATCTTTGTTGTCTGATGATATTCCGTTCTGATTATATTAGACTTTTATTCACAATTTAGTTTCTTCATCTCTCTCTCTCAAGAACACTGTGTAACTCATCAGAACTTTTCTTACCCACAGAATAATAGTAATAAACATTGTTTCAGATTATTGAGAATCTTTTTTCAAGGTAACATAATAAAAGTTAACAGGTAATCAAAAATTTCAACAGAGTAAAAAGTTTTACTCCATCATCCCTTTAATCCTTTAATCATTGATAAAATCATTGGATGTACATAATCATGATACACATTTGAATTAATTAATTACACAATTAAAAAGATAAACAAGTTTTCTAATCAATTTGATAGACAAAATTGACGATAAGCAAGTTACGCCATCTAACAATTGAACATATAACCATAAAGAGAATAAAAATTTTATTAAAAAAAAATTAACTAATTCAAAGAGAATCAATTAATTAACTAGCAAAAAGAAAACGATTCTCATAATTAATCAAATTATAATTAATTCTTTTTACTGAAAAAAAAGTTTAATTCAATTATCTCTCCATGAATTAATAATTTCATGAATTTTAAAACCATTCGAACCTCGATAAGTTTAATGTTCTAAACTCGAGAAAGATTTTAATTGTTACCATTAATTGATTTACTTTTTTTCCCCTCAAAACTATTGATTCTCCAATCGAAAGGTCACAATGTCAAAGGTCGCAACAAAAAATAGTCTTCGAATTAACCCAAAAAAATGATAACTCGAATTATATAGTTCGAAGGTGAAGTGTCGCCATCTATTAAGTTCTGATAAACACCAAGATATTGATCATTCCCTGAGTTTTACAGGGAAGAAAAGGGAAACAGAATAACCAACAGAATTATTAATAGTTATTATGATTTTGGGTTGAACTTTGTTTGATACCAAATGAACACGGATGCTACTCATTGGTGACCTCGAGCATATCTTAAGGTCGGTTTTTTTTACATTCTACATTCAATAACTCATCTCATCTTGTAGATTACAAAATAACCAGAGAGATGATAAAATAGAATAGAATTTGGTGTTTTTCTTTTTCAAATATTCTATTTTATCATTCTCTCATCTTCTTTGTCTTCTTTATCACCTCTATTTTATTTCTTCTTCTTCTTTTTCCTTTTCATAACAAACCAATCGAAATACCATCATAATCAAACTAATCGTCTAAATCAATTACTATTTATGTATCATCATCATCATCATCATCATCGACAACAATCAACAATCAACAATTTAATCAATGTTTATGTGATGATAGAAACAATGATCAATTATCAATAATCATCTAATTGTTATCAGTGTTTCCCAATGTTTGCTAATCTCAGATGAGCCAATAACCAGGAATCGAAAGATTTGTTGGATTAAAACCAGAAAATCAGTTAATTGTTTACACTACGAAAATTTCATGAGATGATCAATAAAATGACATTGTTTTCAAATTGACGTGTGAACGTGTGAGTTTAGTAAATTGTCAACAACATAATCAACTAAATCATCATCACAATTATCAACAAATTGACCTGAATTGTTTTACCAACGGTGATTATCAAATTGGAATAATAATTGAGAAAATAATTCTCAATGTTTCCTCAATTCTGAATTAGCTGATTGTCATTTTTGTTTCCTCTCTCTCATTTGATTGCCAACAATGAAATTAAATCATCATCATCGTCAATAGATTAGTATTTATGAATGGAATCAAAAACAAAATAAAGCTAATCAACATCTCATCCTAATTGTTTTTCTCGTGTCACAATTACTCTCTCTCTCTCTCTCTCTCTCTCTCTCTCAATCACTCACTCTACCAAATCCTCAGAATCGTAATTATATAATTTACATGTTAATTAAGTGAGAAAAACGAAATCGTCATTAAATCATGTCCTCAACACGAGAATCAAATGCTCGAGAGGAGAGAGACCTTCATCATTATCAATATGTTGGACCTTACAGACTTGAGAAGACCTTGGGTAAAGGTCAAACAGGTAAGCCATTAATAATATTATTCTTATATTACTACATAAGAAATAATTTCCATTGAGATGAATAAAAGTGAAAACCTTCAATATGTTTTCATGGTAAATTTCAAGCTTCTCATGACATAAATGATGATAATAATCAACTATGAAACTTGAACCAATCAAAACATAAAATGATATTGATCATGATTATAAGATGATGTTTATCGAGAAAGTTATTAACCAATAAAATGATAATTAAATGTTCTAATTTGATTCAATTTATCATCATAATTAACAGGATTGGTTAAACTTGGAATTCATTGTGTTACCGGTAAAAAGGTCGCAGTTAAAATAATCAATCGAGAAAAACTTTCCGAATCTGTATTACAAAAGGTAAGTAATTATTTGACAATTTTCATGGAAAAACAAATTAAAAATGAGAAGGAAAAACAAATATAATAATAATAATAATATAATATTATCACCAGTCAATGAAATCAGAGTAATCACATCATGATCAGATTGTTATGGTTTCCAATTGAACAATAGGTTGAACCTTATAAACAAGAGAGAGTGAAAAAAAGTTGATTCAAGTTGATCAAGATTAGAAATTGAATTGGGAATTGAAAGATTCAATTAATATTAACAACTATTGAACATGAAGTGTTATACTTTCAGGAATAGTTGATAAGATTCACCTGATAGTTTGAAAGTTAAAATAATCATCAGACAAATTCTGTAGAAAAACAAAAATGAGAAAGAAAATAAATGATCAAGTGCTGATGATGAAGTACGAGAACATTAATCGAAACATATAATAATAATAAAGAGAAGAAGAAGAAGAAGAAAATAATAATATCTCCCTGTTAGAATTCAACCAACGTAATATCGTTTACTATACTTTTGAGTTCCAACTTTTTCTCTGACAACTTTCATTCTGTTGGAATGATCACCGAACAAAATAAGAAAACCACCATAATGTTGAAATTCCCCTGAAACGGTAGCATCTTTATCCATGATGATGATGATGATAATACATTTACATCAATATCTTTATCTTCATCTTCATCTCTCACTACGTTTCTATTCATCATTCTTAGTTTTGTTTCATTCGACGATCGATTCTATCGATCGTTGACGAAAAAGTGAATCAAGTTCTAACTATTATATTTATATTCACAACTTAGTCTGTCTCACAATCTCTCTCTCTCTCTCTCTCTCTCTCTCTCTCTCTCTTTATCATCATTTCTCTCATCCTTATCATCTTCTTCTTACAAGCAATCTCATTCTGCCTTGTAAACGTCCTTCACATTACATCTTTTGTTATAATTCATTGAAACTTATCCCGTTGATAGAATCCAGTTTTTCATGTTGACTCTTTTTATATATTCGAGGAAACTTTCATCTTCACTCATGTCCACCATTCATATTATTTTATCATCTTCATCATCATCATCATCATCTTCTTTTTCTGTATTTTCTTTCAATTCTATCCTTTCATCATATTGTATTACACTTTTATTATTTAATGATATAAATTCAATTCCATGTAAGTATCAACCTGATCAAGTCTCATGGACATTTCAACATTTAATCATATCTTCAATTAACCATCAATACACAACTAGTGATGTAATTTTTTTTGTTGTTTCTTTGCTTCCAAATCAATTGATTAACTTTCATATTTGTCAATTGTAAACAATTGGAAAATATTAATCAACTTGAAACTTTTCCAACTTAAATCAATCAATTAATCTTCACACTGAACATTTTTAACAAATTGCCTGATTGTTATGATTACATATGATTCAACTTGACAGATAGACAACAACAACAACAAATCATTACTACAATTATATTAATTATGAAGAGATTTAATTAGTATATTTTTAATTGTCAACTGTTTAAACTAATCAAGTTACTCTCACTTTCTTAATTGTTGACAATTATTTTTTTCATTTAGATAAAGATGAGAAACTAATTGTATTACTTGATTGAGATACAAAGTTATCACGCGATTAACTAATTCATCTCATCTTAATTATTTACCATTAAATTGTTACAATTAAAGTGTCACAAGTTACTAACAACAGTTTATAATGATAAGATTGATTAGATGTGTGATAAAATTGACGAAATTTATTTTCTTTAATTGTATACGAAATTAGATTCACATAAATTACGATCATTTTCTTGATAATCGAATTCAGAACTTTTCCCCTGAAAATGAACCTTCGATTCTTTTATTAAATCAACTCGATGGAAGTTTTTTCTTCTTCTTCTTCCTTCCAACCTTACAGAACTATTCTGATCAATTGATTGTATTTTGATTAGTGATGATTAACTGTAGAATTAATTATCCAATCCAATGAGAATCAACAATTCACCATTGAACAATTACCATGAGAATTCAATCAAACTTGAACTTCTATTTTTTTTTACTATTCTCATCATCATCATTCCTACAAAAAGTTAGAATCAATTTTGGAAAATTGATTGAATTAACTATATTATCCCTTAATCTCATTGATTGTTAACTATAATTAAATGAATATCAAATAGATTGAGAGTTAAGAATCATCATTAGTAATTGAAATGTATTCAAATTAATCAACTTGAATTTGTTAAAGGTGAAAATCTAATAACAATTAACTTTTATTTAGAAAATTTGATTTTCCATCTATGATTTCAACTCGATTTCAAATGATATTCAACATTAATCTTGATTTTTTTTCCCCATGAATCTGTTTATTTTCAGGTTGAACGTGAAATTGCAATCATGAAGCTCATTGAACATCCCCATGTACTTGGTTTATATGAAGTTTATGAAAACAAAAAATATTTGTAAGTATTGGAAAGGGAATCAAGTTGAAAATAAAAATCAATATCTTTAATGATGATCAAGGTAAAATTCATGATAACGATATGAAAGATTAGATTAATGATAATTGATTGCTAATCATGATAATGGCTGGAAAAAAATATATATAAACATTACAATCTATTTGTATTTATATCTAAACTCGGATGCTGGTTTGAATACCCTGATCCTGATTAGTAACATTCATTTATCGAGGATAAACTAAAAAAGTAATAATAATAATAATAATAATACTAAATGATTATCAGAATTTCCTGAAAATTACATGAGGCTAAACATTTTCGAGGGCTAATGTTTATTTTGATTCTAACCTGTCATCATCATCTTTATCATCTAAGGCTATTTGATAGCGTGATAACCGGATATTAAGGTTAGATGAGGATGAATTAACTAAATCGCTGTTCCTAAATAGGAAGTGAGCTTAAATATTGAATCACAATATCTACTCTCTCTCTCTCTCACGATTATAATGAGATTTACATTGTTTATTTATCACAATGGTTATTTAAAGTGAAAGTTGACTTGAAGTCATGGTTTAATTACCTGATTATTATCATGATTTGATGGTGGTAATGATAATTTTTCAGAGTATCCCATTGGAAGCTCAAGGTATCCATCGATAGGAAATTTATGATTGATTGAATGTAAACAATTGATATAATTGTAAATTGATTTTCAACCGAGTCAATCTAAGATTATGACAGTTACTGTCATTATCAATGATGAACAATTTAGCTTCATAATTGTTTGTTGATTCAGTTAATACTAAGATTACAAGTATTGTTTTTTTTTATTCTGTCTCATCTGATAATCATCATCATCATCATCATCACCTTCATGATGATATATAAGTGAGAAAAGTTATATTATTAACTGTTTGGTTTTTGTGGTTACGATACTTTGATTGATTTTGTTTGATTATCATCATTTGATTTACGTTTAGTTTTTATCCTTTTCCCTTCATATTTCAATTTTACATCATTAACTTGACCAAGATTAATGACATAGAGAACTGACCAAAGAAAATGTTTCATTTTCTGTGTATTATATAAAAATAGAAAATGAGTATCAATATGAAATGATGATGTTCCTCTTTCAGAATCAAAGTATTATTATCATTAAATTATTCAACACTTTTTTTTCATATTCTTTCCAATTTTACTTGACCAATGGTCAGAATTATTTTATTACAAATGAGAAAGTGTATATAAATACATTTCTATATTTACTTTTATATACAAAGTAATTAGAGTCAATCTCAAATTGTGGTGAAAATTAATCAATCAGAATTATCATGATTAATGTATATTGAATTAGAATCATGATTAATAACAATAATTGTCAGTTTGATTACTGTTCAGATCATTTACTCATCTCATCAGATTAAAGATTCATTGATAATCTTTATCATGGATTCAATTTTAAAGAGAGAGAGAGAGAGAGCAAATGTTTATGTTGATCATTTATTTGATTCTGATATCAATCAACTAATTAGTTAATTGTTCTTCCTTTCATCTCACCAGGTATCTGATTTTGGAACATGTTTCAGGGGGAGAGCTATTTGATTATCTTGTTAAAAAAGGTCGCCTTACACCCAAAGAGGCTCGAAGATTTTTCCGTCAAATTATTTCGGCTCTTGATTTTTGCCACAGTCATTCCATATGGTAAGCTTAATCCTCATTCTTGCTAATCCAATAGATTAAATGAAAGAAAAAGAGAGAGAGAGATTATAACTGTTTAATATTGTCAACTAATCAACAGCCATCGTGACTTAAAACCTGAAAATTTATTGTTGGACGAAAAAAATAATATACGAATTGCTGATTTCGGAATGGCTTCCCTTCAGATCGAGGGCAGTATGCTTGAAACCTCATGTGGGTCACCACATTATGCTTGCCCAGAGGTCATCAGGGTATGTGTATTGTCATCTATTATTTAATTTTAAATCAATCATTTCCTATCATATATATATATAAACAAACTAATTGTAAATTCTTGATTCTAAATCACAACTGACCAGTAAACGAACTCGATAACAATGTACAAAAATGACCAGGAAAAAAAATAGACAGAGAATGATAATAATGACATCCACGTGACTTGTTTTCGAAATGATTTATTTTATTGATTAACACTATTGAACAATATTATTAGAACAGATAGAATCCCAATTCTAACTATTAACATGTTAGTTAAAAGCTAAACTGGAACAACTAATCGTAATACCATTAGATTTGATTGTTACCTGTTTTTGTTTTGGGTTAAATTGATTATCCATCATGTTAATTGACTAAACAATTATCAACATTCAGAAAACAATACAGAATCTGAATTTTGACTTCACCTTTCCAGGGGAAAAAAACTGTTATCAAACCTTTAGATATCCTGTATTATATAATCATCTGAAAATTAGTTAATTATCTTTAAACTAATCAACAATTTACTCTTTTTACAGAATCCATTACACTTTTGATAGAAACATTTATCCATTAATAATTAGCATGATAATAATATTTTCTCAGTCTTGAACAAAATTCGTAACTCGAAGAGGACGGAGAAAAAGTTTTTCGTCTTTCTAAATTGTACAATTATAATAACTAAATGTTTCTCGAACTGATTTAAATAGATTAGTTAATCTTTCATGATTACGAGAATAACATTATTCTTATGGTTAAACTATATTATTATTACATGTAAATTAAGTTTGACTTTAATTGTTAACTTGAAATTAACATTTCCATTCCAAGCGAATGAGAAATTTTCTACCACAATTAACTAATTCATCTTTTTTTTTGTTTCTTCTTCGAATATACAATTTACCATTATAATGATGATTATACTTTTTACTCAACTTCGAATGTGTTGAAATGAAAATTTCCACCTTTCGCTTATGTATATTAATAGTAATTGAACTCGATTAATTTTAATCTAAAGTAGTGTTAAGATTTAAGACGGAAAAAGAAGAAGAAGAAGAGAAAAAGTTTCATGATAAAATGTTGAAATTCGAAAAATAATTCTACATGTAAGAATATAGAAGATGTTCACCTTAACCTTAACCTTAACCTCTAACAGAACTTTTATCTTCATCTTTTCTTTCACATTCGAGTTAATCTTCAGCATCTTCTTCATCTTGTTCATAATCAGAATCGAAATCAGAATCTATAACTTTTCGCTTAATCATCAACATAATCTCACTTTCATTCTTCAGCTTCTTAATCAGTATCAGAATCAGAATCAGAATCTTCTTCCTTTTCATCTTATTCTTTTATCTCTCTCTCTCTTTTTATTATTCTCCTCTTTTATCATCATCCCATCACTTGAATGATTATCATTATTATTTGATTAGATTAATTACAATTCAACTTCTACTCATGAGATGCTATTATTATTATTATTTATATGTATTGGTCATTCTCCTACTATCTGGACATTGGATCTTTACTTTTGCTTTGTTTTGAAAACTTTTCTTGGTTCAAATTTTGTTTGGCTCCTTTTCGTGATAAGGATCATTATGTTTACCATTAATTTTGATTAAATCTTGTTATTTGGTAACTACAGTAACAAAACACTGATTAACTTCATCTAAACATTTCCAATAGAATCACAACTGAATCAGAACTTTTATCTTCCATGTAAATATGAGGAAAAGTAAAGATTTTTGATAAAGTTTACTTATAATCTTGATTATTTACTGAATTTTCAATAATCTATAATACAGAAAAGTCTCATTTTCTCTTACCATGTCATTGAACTTTTATTTTTCTTTTTCACAATCAATTCTAAAATCTATCAAAGATTAAGATACGATATATCTATCGAATATCAGATAATCAAGTTATAAAGGGTTGAATATTTTTCCATCCTTCGAAAGGCTTAGATCGGTTTTGGATCCAAGTTCGAAAGCAAAAAAAAAAGTTCGATAACATGTAATCTTTTCTCCTATTGATCAGATTTGAAGCTCATCTCTAATAAAGACTTTGGTCTTAACAAGATTTTCTTTGGTCATTAAGATGAAAGATTACATGGAATCGAATTTGTCCTTTTCTTATTTATTTATATGATAGTTTACGAATTGAAATAACGGGTGTGGTACTGAATTTGTATCGAAAAATATAATCCGCGAAGTGATAGCAACTCAAACTGACTCTCTTTTCCTATCATGTTTACATGAATTTCAAATTATCTGAAGCTCTATCTCGATTCTGATAACAATCTTGTTGTTGATTCTTGTTCATAGATAAGATTAGATAAAAATTTTCCATCGAGAACCATTTGAATGATACAAAGAAAATGTATCTCTCAGGGCGTTGGCTTCTCATGTATATTATATGAATATAAACCTCGGAACATCTTGAGAATTTTGAATGTGACAAGAATATCATCTTCCCACCTGATTCTAAACTCGGTGTTAATCTTATTTCTTAGATTATTATTCAGTTGATTGTTTAATACTCTCATGAAAGTAATAGGCCAATAGAAGATTATTGCAGAATCTTTATTATTATCATGATAACATTTATCACCTCATTTACTATAACTTTTATCCCAAGTAAAACAGAATTTTCTCAGAATTCTGATTTCACCTAATTCTTATTCTTTTATCTTTTTTTCAGGGTGAAAAATATGACGGAAGACGAGCTGATGTTTGGAGCTGTGGTGTAATACTTTACGCTCTCTTAGTGGTTCGTATATGATTTATATGTACAACTATTAATTTCAAATTTCGAGACACTTGGAATTATTTTTATTCCTTTTCTTTTTTTTTCTCTCTCTCTCTCTCTCTCTTGCTGATTCTTTTTGTTGCCCTCAGGGTGCTTTACCTTTCGATGATGATAATCTTCGACAATTGTTAGAGAAAGTGAAAAGAGGAGTTTTTCATATTCCACATTTTGTTCCACCAGAGTGCCAAGATCTTCTAAGAGGAATGATCGAGGTTGATACGAATAAACGAATGACCGTAAGTATATTATTTTCTATATGTACAACATTTATTAGGAAATTCTATTGAATTTGAAAAAGAAAAATATATAATTCCTATTAACATGGATAATAAAAAGTTTTCTTTTCAAGTTCAAACTTCCTGCTGTTCGATGTCATGATCATGTGATCCATTTCCATGAAACCTCCCTGAGTTCAATCAAATGAAATTGAGTCAAAGAGAAAATCAGAAAATTGGAAACATAAATAGAGAGAGAAAGAGAAAGAAAAAAAAGTTCGATTTCAAATTGAATAGTTTCTATTCATTCATAAATTATCATCCATGATGATAATAGATTATTCAACTAATCTAATTGTAATCCGATTAAGATTATAATAGATCATTTCAGTCTCTCTCTCTCTCTCTCACTCACTCACTCTCTCATTTTCCTCTGAATCAAGATGATTAAATAATAAACAAAAAGTAAACTCAGTTGTGAATCAATATTTTTGTTCATCATTCATGAAATTCAATTTTTCTTGAGTAAGTTAACTTGTCAATCTTTCTGTTGACTGTAGATGATTAACTTTCACCAATTGATAAGGTTAAATTTGTTGATTTAAATAATTAATTATCTATTATAAATTTTCTGTCAATTTGATTTATTAACCTGAATGCAAACAGTTAATAATAGATCATTGGAAAGTTAATCTATTTTTAGAAAAGTTGATTTAATTTAATGATGAGCGTTTATTTCATATGATGAAAGTTTCATTCTCAGAGAATCAGCTGATTAACAAAAACTCACCTTAATCCATAAATAATTGATGAAATTTTGGACAAAATGATGAATAAAAAATATGATAGAATCTCAATTCGCTATTAACATTCATTAACCTTAGGATAATACGGATTAAGATATTTAATTGAATAGAGTTCATGACTTTTTCTTTGAGTTTTTTTCCCACTGAACTTTTGGAATACAATTTTTACCTCATCAATGTTAATTAATATGAGAACTTTTCTTTCTCTCTCTCTCTCTCTCGATATTAATTAGCTCCAAGAAGTAGTTCGACATCCATGGGTAACAGGGTGAGTATTGAATTTTCTGAATCCAAATGAACTTTATTCTTGTTATTGAATCGATTAGATTGCTGATCAATGTTTCTTCAAATTTTCTTGTTCATCTAATTGGAATTATGTTTTATTTTCCTTTCATTTGATTTGTTTCTTAATTGTTTACCATTAGACACTTAACAGCAATTAGTTTTATAATCAATTATAATTGTCATTGGAATGATACTAATGTATGAAGATAACAGATTCTGATATGTTATAGATATTAAAAGATTATCAAGTGGATTGGATAATATTGATTCAGTGAAATATAAAAAAATAAAGTTGCTGTAAGATAGAAACTCTCAGTATATATTAGGATATTAGTATTATCATCATGAAAACTGTCACCATGAGCTGAATAAACATTCAACAATATTGAAACTGGTGATGATAGAAATGATTCAGATAGAATGGAAAGAAAATTTCTCGTAACGTTAACAAGATGATGATGATGATGATGAAGCCACAGGAAAATGTCTCAGATCTTAGGATAATTCCAATAATTCTGAGATTATATTTATTCTGTTTCATTTTTTATCTCTTTCTTTCTCCTTTTCATGGTGATTCCATTCATTGAACCAGTGGTAGTAAAGCTGAACTGGAACTAGAATTGCCTATGAAGGAAGTGGTTCAGGTAAGAATTTGTTTTCTCTTTCTTTTTTTGTACCTTAATGTCAAAAGAAAGAACGAAAAAGAGAGAAAGAAAAAGAAAAAATAAAACCCATGATGAGAGAGAAATGAAATCTGAACCTGAGAATATATAAAATTTTCTACTGAATTGGAACTTTATATTTCTTGTTGTTGCTAAATTTCTCCTTCTATTTGCTGGTAACTTGTGAAAACCAATGATCTGAATCTTGAGAAATTACCCTTGAAATGGGAATCCAAATACTTTCCCTGAACTGAATTTATCCTGAATAAGAAGGATAAATACTTTTTATTGAAACTTTGATAGTTTCTCTTTTCTTTTACCTTTTTTTTTACTCTCTCAAATTCAGCCTCATGGTTTGATACCCAGCTAATGATTATCCGATAGCCTTCAGTATGGACAATACTTGAAATCCATTATAAAAGGTTGAACATTTTAATGTTCGGTTAGTTTTACTTTCTGACAGACCCACGAATATTTGACTTCCAAACTGAATCATGATGAGTTGGCAACTTTTCATCGATTAATCGTAAAAGTTGAATGACTTTTAACCAATAATCTAAATCAATTAAATTAAATCTCACCTTGATTATCATTTGTTTTTTTTTCTCTCCCTTCAAATCAGTGTAAATCTTATCGTATCATTATTTTACCATGAAGATCAAGGGTGTTAATGATTTTTTTCTGATTACTTACATGCCACTGATACTAAATATCAATCGACTGATAAATTATCTTTATTATCACAACCATTATCTTGAAATTGTTATCACTATCATAATGAATACACCTAATTGACCATCGAGTGTTAAGTGGTCATTTGATTCTGATATTTACCTTGGATCTGATTAATTACCGGTTCTCAAAATGTTATCACATATCAAAAGAAAAATTTCAATTTTCTGCTCAACAAATTGACCGATAGATTTGAAAAAATACATTCAACTGATTCTCCATGAGTTGATTTAGAATGAGAAAATTACCATGAACAATAGATATAAACTGAATAACAATGAATCGATTTACAATTTACAACCTTGACCCTAAGAAAATGACCTTTAGTTTGGATAATATTTTCTCCCCTTACCGGTTCAATTCAATTCTTTTCTTTTCATTACTATCAAATATAAATTATCGTTCATCTTTAATATTGATTCACTCGTGAGTCTATTCCCATGATTGGAGTACATTAGAATTGTCATTTGAACGAAAAAAAGAAATTCATTTTTTTTTCTTCTTCTTCTTTGTGAGAACTGAACATTCATGAGCATTGAATCCATAGATTGATCTGCCCTTTGAACAATCAAATATCCTACAGGCTCGAAAATGATGAATTTGAAATGGTTCAGGTAACTGGAGAAAGAGAAGAAGAAGAAGAAAAAAAAATTCATGACCAGAAAAGTGAATCAACTGACAAAATTCATTACTCTTCAACTCTATGAATGAATTGTTGTAATGTGAAAGAAAAAGTTTCAATGTTTACAGAGTTTGTTTTTTTTTATTGAATGAAAAAAAAAGTTTTCTCCATGAAAATCTATTTCAGGTAAAATCGAATGAAATTTCAACGGAGAGAGAAAAAAATATAAACTCAAGATTTACAGTTAGTAGATGATAAAGAAAACGGTTAACATAATATCAAGAGTGTGGTAAGAGACATGGTGATGATGAGGAAGAAGAAGATGAAGATGAGGATGATGTAGACAGAGATAAATGAGGAGATCGCTTAGTAGACAGAAAATGGTTCAAAGTAAATAAAGTAATATCTTTTTTCCTCTGTCTGTTTTAGACTGATAAAGAAAGAGAAAAATAGAGAGAGAGAGAGAGAGACTGGAGATAAAGATGAAGATGGTGATGAAGACGATGGAAGATGAAAAAGAGAGATGATGATTAAAGAAGATGGGAAAAGAAACAGGAGGAAGAAGATCAAGTAAACTTTGAATAGATGGATATATTTTTCACTCAACTGTAAATTACATTTCGCCTTAAGCGATAACATTTAAACCAATTTCTTTATTAAGGTTTCATGTTATTTTCTGTATACATCATCATAATCATTTTCTCATGAAATCCATCACTTTTTCCCCATGAAAATTTCATACTATTAACCTTGAAGGAATTATCAATAAGCAAAAGAAACATTCTCAATTCATGATGATTAATATAAAATTTACTATTTCTCTTAATATTTAGCTTTTCACTTTCTCTCATCACAATTACATTTCTCTCTCTCTCTCTCTCTCTCTCTCTCTCTCTCTCTCAATTGTTTACTTATTGTCAATGATCATTTGTCACTTGATTCCTAATCATATCTTCATATTGATAATCTCATATTCCCTAATGGAAATGTTTCTAATTGTTTACTATATACATTATCAAGTTATTAATTTATTCAATTTTATCTCTCCGGTGTTAAGACTCATATAATCCCCTCGGTTGATGATCTCGATCCTGATGTATTATCCAATATGACTTCATTAGGATGTTTTAAGGAGAAAGATAAACTACTTCGAGAGCTTCTTAGTACAAAGTAAGTTAATTAATTGTTTCTCTTTTCATCTTGATTCTAATTATTCACTTTCTAATTGTTATTCTTATTCTTAACTTACTCTTATTAACTTATTAAGCCATAACATGGAAAAAGTGATTTATTTTCTTCTATTGGATCGGAAGAGAAGACGACCTGCCTTTGAAGATGAAACTGAAGTTATCATTAGGAATCGATCAGAATCAGTTAAATCAGGTAACAATTGAAATGTTATTTCCTTTTCCTTTATTTCATTCATTCATTTTACTATTATTTGTATTTGCATTTGTAACTTTCAGGTTACACCAAATACTCATGATGATGATAATAATGATTCTGTTGATTAGCATCATTATCCTCGATATATATATAAGTTAATCTATTAATGAACTATTGCTCTTTGTGTACTATTAAATTGTAGTATAAGTGATTAGTTGATTGAACTATAAGATTGAATGATGAATAAATTTACTCATTTCTTTGTGGATAATAATAATATTATATAAGAGTTGAGAGTATTGTTTGATTAATATAATTGATTTGTTGGTGAAATTAGAGTAAAACTAAATGAAAATTTAGATGAATATCTAATGATTAAGTTGATTTTGGAGATGAGGATGAAAGATACTTATCAAATTCAAGTGTTAATATCACAGTGATGATAATTAACTGAATCATCTTGGAACAGAAAAAAATTATTACATTGAATAAATCAGAATCATATATAAAAATGATGATATGTAACATGATATAAATGAAATAATATCAAAGCTTTTGTTAAAATAATAACTAAATTGTTCATCATCATCATCATGATTGAACAACTGAGATGGAAACAAAAGATTCAGAGTAACTCAACTTTGGAAATGTTAACAAACAGGTTGAAGGATAAATAGGAAATGAAGAGAGAGAGAGAGAAAAGTTCTGATACATGGAAACAAGATGATCATGAAGAGAGAGAGAGAGAGAGAGAGAATAAGAATGAGAGAGAATAAAAATTCTAACAGTTAATATGATCCATCAATTATTCTTGACACAATCACATTCACTTTAACGATTCCCTTTACCCACAAGTTTCCTTTTCCTTCATGACATTTTCACTCCCACCAAACTAATAATATTATTATAGCTTTTTTCTTACAACTTATATATTATCATTATCTTACCAATAAGATATACCTGTAATCCTGAGCTCATGTAATATTATCATAATCATTGTGATAAATTTGCTTGATTTTTTCTTCCCTTTCCAATATTACCACTATTCTGTTGAAATATCTCAACATATTGTATCGAGAAAAAATTTTTTTTTATCAATATAATCAATATTACCGATTTCTAATAATCTTTTAACATGAATTATCATGATAATAGATCCACCACGGAAACGTATTGATAGCTGCCAAGCTAATAGTCGATCTGGTCCAAAATATTCATTTGATATGTTAAGTGATGGATCACCGATAACTCCTCGTCGTTATCCATTCAAGTGAGTATCCAGATTATTCAATCTACTCCATGATAATGCTAATCTCAATTCATGGTGATCATAAAGATCTGAATTACTGGAATCATATTTTTTTTTAATAAACCGGTTCCCTATTATACTGTATAAGTCACCATGACAACTGAATGATTCTGAATATATTTAAGGTTTTTTTTCTATGGAAAAAAAGGAATCCATGTTTAACCTAGAAAATAATGAGAAATAGGAAAAGAAAATGGTTATGAGTTATTCATTCAATGTTATCATGATGATGATGATGATAATCATCATGGAGTAAAAAATGAAAACAAGGTTATCTTTAGTATTTATTTCACTCCCAGAAATATTAACAAAGAGACAGAGTGATGATTATTATGACTTGATGATAAAATTCAAGGGCATTTCTATTGAAGGCGAGCTGAGTTTGATGTTGATCTTAGACTGTCATGATTATATCATCATGTTTACATGGTTCTAAATGAGAATTCATTTCAATTCTGTGTGTTGAAATTTATTTATATCATTTCAAGTTTCGCAATTTGTAATAAAAAAGATTTTCTCTCTTCTTTCTTTTCTTCACCAGTATAAGTACTTGTTCTGCCTCAAAAGTATATATTAATTGCACTCCAAGTCATAATCGTCGTAATCGTCGAGGAAGTGGCTCTTCAACCGGAAACAGTTCAAGTCTGCTCAATAATCCATTGCTGTCGCCTCTTAACATACCTAAACCAATTTCCACACGAACTTCAACTTCCTCATCGGAGTCTAGTCCAATTAATACTCCTCCTGGTTCACCTGGGCTTGGATCTCAACCTTATTGGAAATCTCGTCTCAATACACTTAAGAACAGTTTCCTTGGAAGTCCAAGGTTTCATCGGAGGAAAATGCAAAGTAATTTAATCAGACCTTTGATATATTAATATTAAAATTGATTCGAATCATATGAATAATATAATCCTACTTAGAGAGAGATAGAGAATCGAAAGGATTATCCTAAAAGAATAGCCTGTAGACAAAAGCATAACCTGATAATCTTCTCGATAATAATTATACCTCCCAGGTCCAGTTTTCACCTCCCAATGAATATACTCAGGATATTTTTCCTTTCTCTCTCTCTCTCCTCATCTCAATTATTTTCCCTCAAGATTCACGATATATTGACCGTTCAACTGATGAACCAACTGGTCAGCTGGTTCCACCTCATTAACTCTCATCTCTTCTCAGCCTTGAATCAATTCCTAATAACAGTAGAATCACTTATCTTTCGTACTTTTATTTTCCCTTTTCGATGAGAAGAAAAAAAAATCGATTCTCTCCTCTGTTCTCACTTTTTCTCTCAATCAATCTAATCAAAGATTTTACTTTCTCTCTCTCTCTCTCTTATCTGTTTATTCATCTTCTCCTGTTTCAATTCTACTCTTCCTTACTCATCTTCTAATTTCTTCTTGTTCGTTTCTTTTTTATATATACTATAATTAGTTCCATCTCCATATGAGGAGACCAGTTTTACACCAGAGGGATCACCAGAACTTACCAAGCGTTCCTGGTTTGGTAACTTAATGGGAACTGAACGAGACGAGACTCATGTTCTATTGGTCAAGGATAAGCCTTTAAGTGCTGTTAAAGCTGACCTTATCCATGGTTTTCTTTCTGTATGAATTAGATAAAAATCCAGAATGATCATTCAATGTATCATGTCTCATTTCAGAATATCAAATATTCATGAGATTGCATAATATATGAATGATACCATGTGGAGATAGTATTGAATACGATCAGAATTTTTAATCGAATCTTTTTCCTTCTTGTCTCTCTCTCTCTCTCTTTCTCATTAATAGGTAACTGATTTAAGTCATTCAGTTCTATCTCCAATGTCATTTAGGGTTGAATATAAGAGACCAGGAAATACTGCAATGTTTCAAAGAAATGTCCGTTTCCATGTTAGTATAACTCCTGCAGGGCCAACAGGTAATGGTCATTCGGGAGTAAGTGATAAAGTAACAAGTAATGGTAAAGATCATTCAGATTCTATCGACAATGGACCAAAAATTTATGCTATAACATTCACCTTGATATCAGGTATATTTATACAAATTATAAGTTGATGAATGATGAATTAATGAAAATTTTCAATTAAATTGATAAACAATAACAGGTCCGATTCGTCGTTTTAAAAGGATTTGTGACCATTTACAAGTTCATCTATTGGGCCGCCGAGGAACTAATCAGTTATCTCCTCGAATGGGTCGTCGGCCAACTCGTGATCTAAGTGATAGTTCATGTGGATCATGTGGTTCTGGAAGCCTTTCACCAACTGCAACTCGACTTCATGTTGGCGCTGAAGATACCGTTAGTCTTGCAGCTCCAATGTTAACAAGCACAACAAGTTTATCCAATAAAAGCGCCCTGTCCCGATGTAAATCAGATCAAGACACTGGTACCGATATTTTTGATCGGGATAATACAAAGTTAATTGTCTGTGCCAATCCAAACACCAATAACATAAGCATAAGTCTTGTTAGCAGTAACAACAACACCATTAATACAACAAATAACACCATGATCAGTGTTAATAACAACAATACAAACCATAATAATAATACTAATAATAACCATACAAACAATGTTAATCATTTAATTGGTAATCATAGTTTAACAACATCAACAAATTTATCCAACAATGCAAATCCTAATAGTAACAATTTAATCAACAATGTAACATCAATCAACTCCAATCTATCCAATGTCAATCATATGAGTTTAAATGGTCTAAATAGTTCAAACTCGTCGACGACAAATATCAATAATGGTAACAGTCCTAATCCACCTCCACCTCCAGCACCGGCATCATCTTCAACCCACATGGTCAGTATTGTCCGACCCGTTGAGGCCAATCTATCAATTGGTTTATCCAATCGAGACCTGACAAGTAACAACAATTCAACTCGAGAGAGACTAGTGACCAATGGCCGACGAATGAGCTTAGATCATAAACTAATGGCTGATAATGTTTAATGTTTCGTTTTACTTTTTCGTTTGTTTGAAATATCATCAAGTCAATGAAGGATTTAAATTAAATCTCAACAATTAAGACTTCAAGTTGAATTGAATTGAATTGAATTGAATTGGATCAAAAAAAAAAGTTAATTTTAAAGAGCTGGAAATCAAAATAAGACATTGCAATTGAAATGGTTCAACATTATCCTGCCCACTAATTGTTATCATCTTTATCCAACCAAACTCCTTTATCCTTTAATTACCTTGACTGCAATTAAGCATATGAGTGCAATTTGCTTTTTTTTTATTATCATTCATTGATTCAGTTGGAATCCTGATTATTTAGGATTAATCATCGAGAAAAGAATCAACCATAATTAACTGATTGATCAACATTGAGAATCTCAAGGAGCAACAATTAGCTTCTTGCATCTTCATCAATATTTTCATCTATCATCATTTTATCTTCTTCATTAACTTTCTCTCTCTCTCTCTCTCTCTTTACTCATTCACTATGAACTTTTTCATCCTCATCATCTCATTTGTCATGATAATCTTTTTCTCTTTATTCTCTGCCTTGTACCTTATGTAGATATACACCTTAGCCTCTTCAAAGCCAAAACTGATGATGAGCTGAAAACAAAACAAAGATATTGTTAGACACTAATTCGTAACTAATTACTACTTTAATTAGCTAATTGTAAACTAAATTTAAGGTGTTCTAATTGTCTTTTACTTCTGGTGAAGAAATAAACTCTAAATGAACTTTTCAACATGAACATTATTATTACCTTCATGTTAAAGTTCATCATTTGGATTGATCAGATGATACTAATTACGATATGATACCAACGATGAACATTTATACGAAATTATTCTGATATTATTTTTGTTTGTGTTCTATTCAAATTAATCTCTCTCTCTCTCTCTCTCTCTCTCTCTCTCTCTCTCTCTCTCTCTCTCTCTCTCTCTCAACAAACAAGAAACCACACCCTTGTATTAATAAATTATTACAATAATGATAATATCACGATAACAATACAACTCAAAAGCCTCAACAACCAAATTGAATTGCAAAAGTTTCAAGTTCGAATTGAGCAGAAAAAATAAATTCGAGCTTCCAATTCTGATGATTTTCATTTTTCTCTCCTTCTTAATTTTCCTCTTCTTTTTATCTGCTTGATATTTGGTCTTCATCATGATAATAATGATAAATAAGACGACGACGACTAAACAGAACTCAGTGCTCAGTACCAATTGGATAACAAATGGCGCAACCAACCAAAGAAAAAGCAAAAAGTGAAATAATTAATAATTCATGTGATGAAATTCAGCCTCCATTTGAATCTCTCTCTCTCTCTCTCTTCATATTTCTGTTTCATCTTCTTTTTTTCATCAAAAATGATTCTCATCTATTAGTATTCAATGATCATTATTTCATTAATTATAATACAATTAAAATTATGAATATCGATACTATCGATACGATTCTCACCATTTATATCAATTTATCATTAATTTCATCTTCAAATCATTACTCTCTCACTCTCTTACTCTCTCACTTGAGCATCACTTTAAATACTAGTACATCCAGATAGGCACCATGCTCGATATGAGTGAATCATTCTCGTTTTAATACAATTAATTGTTACAATATAAAATCAAAGTATAACCATCAACTTGACTCTCATCTCTAGTTCACCATTTTAAATTAATATTTTTCTTAATTCTCACCAATGCTAATATAATAATACAACTAGGGATAGAAATTGATTCCTTTCATTATGAACTAATCTTTTTTTTCAATGTTCATTTGAACTTATTGGACCTCAGTACGTTGTATTATTATAATTATGATGATGAAATGCAATTTACAATTTAGTTACATTGTATAATATTGTTTTTAAATATAATCTTCATCATGATAATCAAGGTTAGTCAAGTTTCTCAAATTACAACGATTATCTGAATAATCCATTGAAAGAAATGATAATAATAACAACGTTGGTGCTTATAAAAAGATTGGGAAAAGGGAAATTCTAATTATTTGATTGTTAATCATGATAAAGGATATGAGCACAATTTGATAATCATCATTTGATTTTCATATCATGCTCATTATTCAGATCATCAACCTCATCATAAATTGATGAAGATGATCATTAACAATGCTGAAAGTGGTAACATTGGATGAGAAAAGCATCATTTTCATTGTTAGAATCTTGAATTTACCTGTTTACTATTATTATTGATTTGATTTTCTTCATAAAGTATTGGAAAAAAGATTAACAGTTAAGGATTAACAGGATTAACCTTGAATCTTCAAGTCTGAAGCATTTGACTTTCATGATGATGAGAGTGATGAGGAGAGAGAGAGAGTAAAAATAACGGTACTCAGAACGATAAAGTTGCTTGATAATAGTTTGAAATTTTATTCGTTTCAATTTTTTCTTCTTCTTTTCAATGAATTAAAGTTTCACTGGTTCATTAATAGTAATTATAATGATAATAATCAAGAATTGAGATGATTATGATTGGCTGATAATAATAAATACTATCATTCATAGGGCGGGGAAGATTAATTCAATTGTTTCTTTCATGTTTCAATAGTCAAGAATGATTCATGTTAATCAGTTGATTAGTTACGATAATACAAATTTGATACTCTCATGATTAACATGATAAATTCTTTGGCTGAATTTATATATATATAAGTTTCTCTGTTTCTTATTGTGGTTGTTTTTTTTTGGTATTTACGTTTGGAATAATTAAGGATTAAGTTAATTGTCAATCGATTAAATCAATTGACCAGAATAATATTAATAGTATATATATATTATAATGTATTTATAATAAAATGATGATCGGTATTAGGATTAATTGAGAGATTGATGATCAATGAATGGTGATTATTTATGGTCAGGTTGATATTTTTATCGAATCGGTAATCGACCTGCATCTCTGAATTTAAGACTTCCCGGACTTGTCGACGGGAATTTCGATGTTGGCCAGCGTTCTTTTCCCGTACTTTCTTCCGATGAACGGCAATTGTAGACATCGGCTCGATTACTGGACTCATGGTAAGTCTTTACACAATGGTCACCATTTCTACATGTACAACTGAGAAAGAGAGAAAGAGAGACGGAGAGAGAAAAAGTTCCAATTAGTTCATTAGGTGCAATTCTAGTTACAGGAAAAGAAGGGAAAAATAATAAGAGAGAATCAAATTCCTTTGGAAAATCTTGATTCATTTATCTTTACGGAAAAAGTTTCCCTGCTTAAGATTAACGATTCACTTTTCCATTGGAATTGGTGCTAATGTGATAAAGTCTCGTGATATTATTTTCTTTTCTGTGTCGATTGTGATTATTAACTCTCCAGGAGTGATTATTATCTAATCTAATCATTTAGATCAATGACTGACTAAATAACTAATTAACTATCATCAGCCTTATAACTTAACTGTAAACTTGATTCTTTAGGTGAAAGGGAAAATTTTTAGCTTCTTTTGTTGAGAGATTAAGAGAAATCTTTTCTCTTCTTCTTGTTATTGGATTTAAATCAATTGGATTAACATTAAATACTTACAAGTTTTTGAGCATCATTTTGGGTTTATCTTGTTCATAAACGATCCAACCACAGGCTTGTGAATAGGTACAAATAGTTACTTCACTTGAGGCCTAATGAGGTTTTTAGATTTTGATACCAAATAGTAAATTAATTAGTATGAACACAGTTAATTTATTCATTCAATTGAAATGATAATTTAACTCACCGATGTAGTTGATTCAATTAATTGTGATGAAGATGATGAAATGATTAGGATAACACAGAGAATAGAGCACAATGAGTAAAACTTTAAATTTAGTTCCATATCTTGATTATAAATTACGATTGTTCAGTTCAGATTATCGGATAACAACACCAAGAGTTTTTGTTTTTATTCAATTGGATTGAATAACAATTAAATCCTCAACAAGAGTGAAAACTATTATCGATGTAGGAATAGAAATTAAAGAAAAAATAATCAAAATTGTTGATCGATTCTCGATTTTTGATTTGTCACAAACGGAAAAAAAAACTTTACTGTTAACAAAATTGTTGAATTGATTAATTGTGATTCTATGATTTAATTGTAACTGTTGTTGTTTCAATAGATGAATTTAGATTGAATGAAACTTGATAAAGTTTTTTTTTTCTTATATATTATTTTCCAATATAAACAAGTTTGGGAGACTCCGTTAAATTGTTAATTAGGTTCCGCCTTAATGATAACCACGTAATGATTACTATTATTATTATAATTATCTGTACTTTTCAATTGTATTTCATTTGATTTCATGGTAAATCATTTGAATCACCGACTATCATGAGAACGATAACTTTTCTAGTAAAACAATTGAATAATATTCACACTGAAATAGTGAAATTTTGTTTCATTTTAATTGTTAGTTTTTATTTTCGTTGGTTGTTTACTAATAATATTATCATTGGAATTATATAATTTAACTAGTTCATGATACAGGTGAAAGTTGTTATTATCAATTTCATCATCAATTTGATAATTAATGGTTAATGAAGGAAGAGCAAGAGAGAGAGAGAGAGAGAGAGAGAGAGAGAGAGAGAGAGATGTGATGATGAGGATGAGGATGAGGAGGAAGATGAATGATGATGATGCTCTGCAATGAGAAAGGATGTGAAAGAATTCAAAGTATTGCTAATTTTGTGAGAAACAAGAGTAATCAACTAATAACGATAATTTGATTCTCTAATTTGACCCTGGTTCTAATTGGCATTTTTCTTTATGGTCATAAGACGTTAACATTTCATCATCTCAATGAAATCGTTTTTATCCTCATCCTCATCATCAATTATTATCCCTTAATCCTGTTATTGTTATATTAGTTTTACTATTGATACGTTCATTGATTTTATTTGGAAATTTTTTCATTTTTTTGTTTCTTTATTTTTCTCATTCAATTTCATTGAATTTCTGAAGGTTTTATATAGACTTATTGTCAATCAACAGACTAGGTCATAATCAAAATCTAATTAATTGATTGACTCATCATGAAGTAATTATTATTACTTATCTTATTGAGATGATGATTATTATTAATAATCAATAATTTTTAAGAAGGTCAACACCTTAATCTTAATCAGACTGGTTTACGATTATCCTCCAGGGGGTTATCCCTTTAATCAAACTAACGATTAACTGATTACTACGCTAATTATAATGTTAATCAAAACTTTTAATCATTAAATCTGATCATTTGTTGACTAAAGTCACGTCAACAATTTCCTGATTTAATAATCTATTTTTTTTATTTTACTTTTCCAATTGAAACTTTAATTTAGTTTCCTTTTTTTTTCTCTATTAATTATTTTGCTCTCATCAACTAATAATTGTTTCAATATTAAACAATTAGTTGATTTAGTTTTGTATTGTTCCAAGCAATTGGATCAATACCAATAATCAATATAAATATTTTTCTAATTGACCTTGAAAATCAGAGTTAAAGTATTTCAAGATTACATAATTTACTTGCCAGTTTGTAGTTACAATCTAAGCCGACTGATTGTATGCAATTAAATCTAATTGATTAATTAATTATCATCAATTTGAACAAGTAGATAATTGTTGTGTATGTCTTTCTCTCTCCATCCAATTTAAGTTAATCTTCATCTTAATTTTTAACCATTTACCCTTAGATCAGTAATTTTATATAATAACAACTAAGAAAAGAAATTGATTAATTGTTTTTTTTTGCTTCTCCATCCTCATCATCAATTTGTCATCATTTCATCACTTTCTCGAGTTTAAGTGGACTTTGTTTCCGGTGATAATTCATGATAATCGACATTGTTGACTAATCCAAAGTGAAACTTGAAACCACTTCTAATTCTTGACCGTCGGGTAAATTTTGTCATCTCTTATGATCATGATTCCTCTGTGTAAGAGGATCATCATCATCATCATCATGATAACGATTATGTTAACTACTAATTAATTAGTTATGCAAACAATAGATAATCATTGAGTCTCAAAAATCCAGTTATCATCCAACTTCATCAGCGTCATCAGACTTTTACACACATAGAGAATTCAATGAATATTAAGTTTTTTTTTACAATTGAAAGATCAAACCATTGATAGAAATTTAAATCAATTGAATGATGATAACTGATCATTATCAGTAAAATTTGATTCATTCAATGTGTATAACAAAAAAAACTCATTTTCCTGAGATGATTGATTTTTTTTTATTATTAAAGAGAGTTGATTATAATCATGATACACTGATAATAATCACAAGTTGTATGTTGTTTTACCTTTTACATTTAAATGGTTTGATAGTGCAAACGATTTTTTTGTTAATTCAATGAATGAATGAATATCATCATCAAAATGTACTTTGCTTTTCATTTTGTGATTTTTTTCTTAGCCCAATGACAATTAAAACTGATTCCTGTGGCTATTGTTATCCTCTCATTGATCAATTGTTTATTCAAAATTCCCAATGATCATGTGGATTGATTGGAAAAATATTAAAACTTGATGTAATCTGATGGAAAGTTGCATCACTTAGTTTGTGGATAATTTTGACTTGATATCTTCAACCTTGCTATGAAATTCGTTTGCGATATCTTTATTCTGAAGAGGAGGAAAAAAAAGGAAGAAAGAGTGAGAGAAAATTGTTAGAATTCAATTGAGCAATTAACGGAAACGGAAAAGAAAATAATAACGGAAAATATGGATGGTTGAAAATCTTACCTTGAATTTAATGCAAAATTTACCAGGTTTTTCTGGTTCTTCGGAATAATCAACACCAGCCCAAGTTAAGGCATTTTCTGAATTTTCCATTGTTTCAAACTTGATACCGGATGAAATCCGCTGATTACAGGCAATCTTCAATACTTTATCTCTTCTAAGGAGCATTCTGTATGAATCTAATGTTAGAAATGAAATAAATTTAACATGAAAATGATTAATAAGCAAAAAAAAGCAAGTACTTCTATACTTATATGCACGAGGATTAATTATTTTCTTTAAATGTAACTTACTGTTGGTTGGATTTTTTAAGATTTTAAAATCACCAACACCTCGTTCTTTCCACTCTTTATCTTTGTCACTGAATAAGAAAATTTTAGCTCTCGATGTGAATTGAGGCTGCTCATCTTCTTCACCGGTCTTCACTTCAATAATGTCTGGCATTTGGATGGTTGGAAGCTTGAATACAGCATTTTCAGAGCCTCCAGCTAATGGAAAACATGTAAACAATTATTATTATTATTATTATTATTATTATTGATTGTACACAGAGATTTTTGAAACTTGATCAACTCACCGTCTTCACCAGTGGCAAAGTTTTCTTCTTCATCTCCTCCTTTACTAGTTCTCTGGAATACAGGAGCAGGTGTAGTGATGGCACTCCAATTAGATTTACCGGTTTCCCAATTGGTTTGAGGGGCTCCGTAAGTTGCGATGGCTGCAGCAAAGAGATCTAAGGGAGAGTGAGAGAGTCATGTCAATACTATTATATCATGAGATGAATAAATAAACTAATTATTTACTTGATCCAGAATCTGCTGAAGATTCAAATGGTTGTGATGTCTTTGGATCAGCGGGTTTTTCTTTGGGAGTATCTTCATCACATCCACGACAACCAGGACAGGGTTTTACATTTTCGTAATCATAGAAATTAAGTGGTAACTTATATTTTTTCGCTAATTCTACTGCTTGTTGAGACTTAGGTTCTTTAACGTAAACAATTTCGAGATCGGTATCTTTCCTATTAAAATCTCCCATAAAGGTTTCTTTAACTGGAGCTTTACCGACATCAGTTTGAAGACCACTGTTGTTAAATGTAAATGGTGAGGTTGAATTCATGTTACCAAAGAAAGATATTCCACTTTGACCTTCTTTATTAGACTCTGACTTAGTATTTCCAAATATTGATGGTTGACTTGTTGGAGATTTATTAGTATTACCAAAAGAAGAGGTATTAAAGGGTGAACCAGAGGTAAACAGTGGGAAGCTTGGTGGTCCACTGGTAGTATTTGATGATGGTTCCAATTTAAATGAGAAATCGGAAGATTTGTTAGAGCTTGTGTTGCTTGAACTAAACGAGGTATCGGCGGCACTGATGTTGGAAACATTTCTGGGAAGATCTTTTGAAGATGAATCAATGGCCAAATCAAATTGACTTTTAACGGGCAATGAGAATGAAAAATTTGGAGTTTCATCAACTTTTGTTCCAATCCCCATGGGAATACCAAAATTAAATGTTCCTGTAGGTTTACTAACTGGTGACGCTCCAGGAGCTAGAGTCTCACAGGCAGCACATTGTTTAGAATTAGCGTCATTACGTGTGTAACATGCGTTACATTCCCAACCCTTTGGTTTCCATAATTCGGATAACGGTTTAGTTGGCTCATTTGGTGCTGTTTTTTTCATACTATCGGCAGCAACACTTGTTGGGAAAGAGGTCTGGGTGGTTACAGGGAGAGTTCCAATGAGACCTGAAGTTGCAACCATGGGTATAGTTCCAAATGGTGGGACTGTTGCTGGAATACTGGTTTTACCAGTAGCATATTGATTGGGAGTTTGAAAAATTGTGACTCTAGTGATCTAGGGGGAAGACTTTGTTCAACAGCGGGAGGTGAAATAGGAACATATGATGGGCCAGGCATGGATGGATTGGGAGCTGGTTGGAACATGAAACCAGAACCTGGAGATTGGCCGAGTCTTGAAAATACACCGGTTGATTTAGGGTTAAACACAGAATCAACTGCGAATGTTTGATCGGGTGGACCAGAAATGTATGGATTATGAGCTGTAGGGTAAGAGTCAGAAGTATATTCTGAGTATTCTGATACTGGTTTATTTTCATCATTTTGTGTAGCACCACCATCTCCTTGAGTATCCCCATAAGATTCAGTAAATTCATAGATGGCATCTTCAAGATTCACTTGTGATTTCATAACTTTATCCATCATATCAGTATGTTTATTAACAGTAACCTGAAAAATTAATAAAAGGATTAGATAAGTTTAACTAAACAATGATAGACAAGATAGAAGCTAAAAGGATTCGAAATTACCTTAATATCAGTTAAATTTTTCTCCAGCTCACCAGAGAAAGCAGCAAGGTTGAATTTCTCAAGACTTTTCTATAGATTGATTGAAGAAGAAAAAAAATACAGACAAAAATATTGAGAAAATTTCCTAGGTATTAATTATTGATTCTGGAAATTACCTGTAAGCTTTTGATTGCATCAATTATCTCAGATGAACTCTTGGTGACATCCGTTTGAAGCTTACCCACTTTTGAACAAATACCTTCTTGAGCCTGAGACAAGATGATTAACTCCTTTTCTATTTTTTCAAAATTAACTTTAGTAGCCTATGGAAGATTAAACAATAAGAAGATTAATAATAAACAATAATAAATAATTGGTTAATCTCCATGTTGAAACTTACGTAAGGCGATAAAGCTTTTGGAGAGGCAAAACGACCTGATTTTGGAGTAGAGTGAATATCGTCACCTGGAAAGAGAGAATGAAACAAAATGGTTAAGAAAAAAACATCTATAACTTGTGTAGAATAATTAAATTCAACTAAAATAAGTGTAGAAATCAATTTAAAATTGGCTGGTATAGTTGAACGGAAGTGTTACAAGTCACATGACATCACATGGTAAATTGTCAGAGCAAAAAAATGTAAGCAATTTCAATTCTTACTTCGATCAGTCAAGTTGAGATCAGGATTTTTAACAGAAATTGGTGTAACAGGATCGTTGATAGAATTATTGAGAATATCCAAGGTTATGTTTCCAGGAGGAGAACATGGTGAACAAATCTGAAAGAGCGAGGAAAAATATATAAAAGATATAAAATGAATATAAAGAGATTCGAATTCGAGAAAACAAACAAGAGGTTTACCTTTATCTTTTCAAGAAGGTCACTGTCTTTTCTGGCCAATTGAAGTCTTTCCGTCCACAACTAAAAGCAAAGAGTAAACAAAAAAGACATGAAATTAATAATACAAAATAAAACATAAATAATAATAATAAAATTGATGATATTCTTACCTTGACTTTATCAGGCTCAAGATTTGTGTGAGGAATCAGCTCCATGACTAAACAATGAGAGAAGAGACAATTGAATTAGATACTAAATATGGAGGAAAAAAATGGAAAACGGAAATAAATGATCAAAATAAGGGTTACTTTTTTCAAATAGATCAGATTGTGATTGATCAAGTTCTAAACTCTTCATGTAAGATTGAATCGCATTTTCCCGTTCAAGTAATGCTTCCTGGATTCTTCCTTGCAGTTTATAAGCTGCTGGACAATCATTTTTAACACTCATAAATTCAGTCAAATACCTAAAGTAAAACAAAATGGACCAATTAAAAAGTGATACAAGTAAATAAGAACAAATAAAAAATGGCAACTATTATATACAAAAGAAAAAGCGAAAAGAATAAAGAAAAGAAAAGTCCCGCCATTATGACGATGAATGAGTTACCTTAGAGCCTTTGAATACTCTTTGTTGAGGTAATACAGTTTAGCGAAATTTTTTGCCCTTAATTTACGCTGAAAAAGAGAAAGAGAGAGACAAAGAAAGAAGGTGGAAAATTACAACAAATTCAGTGGATAATTTAACAAAGTAGACATTACAAATGTCAATACGAGAATATTAATTAGGTTACTTACATCATAATCACTTTTAAGACGAGCTCGGTAGTTGAGAACATGATTATCCAGATCAAGCTTCTTGGCAAAATTAGCCATCCCTTAGATTGATTGAGTGAGAATTAGCAAAAACAAATTGTTAAAACAAGATTAACAACAAAATGGTAACCTTTATTGTTTGGTAAAAAAGGTAAAGGACAAGGAAGGATAATAATCAACTAATTATGAGTTAATAAAAAAGACAATAACAATCAACAGACAATTAATTTAAAAAAAAACCAGACAATCAAACACAAAGGGAAAACAAAGTCCACACCAGAAAATACAAAAAAGAAAAGAAACTCTGGTAACCATGACAACCATTAGATGGCAACGGTTTAGTGTTTTGCGAATTTTCAGCGCAAAATTTAAATTTTTAAAAAAAGAAAAATTTTTAATTAATTTAATTGAGAATTTTGAGTTTTTTTTGTTTCTATTACAGTTTGGGATTTAAATTTATCTAATTTTTGGATCTTGATTTGATTTTGGTGAATTTGAATTCTTTTCCGTATTGTGTATTTTGGGAAAACTGAATGTCAAGACTTTTGAACTTTTTTTTTCCTCTCTTTGAAATCAATTAACTTTATTACTACTGATTGTTGGTCATTTAAGTTAATTGATCAACAACAATATGGAAATTGGCTGATTGTAATCAAGATAATGGTTGATTGGTTATCATTTATAATTTGTTGTCTTTTCATTGATTGAAACTCTGAGATGATCAATTGTCTGTGTGTCTTGATTGTTAATTTGCATGATGTCAAATTGGTTAACCTAATTATGGACAAAGTATAAAAACTTTGGTACAAAGACAATTAGAAATCAGTTTGATTCATAAATTGTGATAAATCAGTTGAAAGTAAATCTAAATTTCCACCAATTTGTTAACTGTTTGGATTAATTGTAATTAGTGAAGAAGAAAAGTTTTAATTCTGTTTTCTATTCGGTAAATTGTTTGTGTTCAAATTGATTTTTTGTCATGTCTTTAATTGTCCGAGTCGGTTTCTTTTGGTTATTAGTTTATAATTGTTTAGTTAATTGTTCAGATCCAAAGAATCGTAATCATCACAATAAAGGTGATGATATTAATTTGAATACTCTTCGAGGAAGTTGCCAACAATATGGACACTCTTGTCTTGGTGGACATGGTAAACGAATCTCAAATGGCCCATTAATCAACTTAATTGGATTATCATCATCATCATCATTGGAAGAAGAATATAAAAATTATCCAATTAACAATAATCATAACAATCTAATTAAATCAATACCCTTTTCATCACAACCAACAATCATTCATGGTTCTTATAACACTAATCCATATTTAAATCCTTTGGAGAATCAAGGAAAATATCACTATGGACCAGTTAATTATTACGATGAAATTAATTCACAATCTTAATTTTCATTCCCAATTAATTTAATCATCAACTTTTTTTCATCTCAATTTTAATGTTCCCATTTGGTATCATTTTTGACCAACAGATGGCGCCACCTGAAACTCCATAGAGTTAACATTATATATGTAGCGACATCTATTGAGCAAATAATAAGAAAACATTTAACTCGTTATTAAATATCTTCATCTCAACAATTATTTAATCATTATGATTAATTATTTAAACATTTTCGTGATTAATAGTTAACTTTTCTCAAGGTAGATAAGTATCAAAGTCTATTGGAACAACAATTGTGATCAAAAGGATAAAAGTTATTCTAATGGAAAAGAAGTAAAGAAAAAATTTTTCTATCCAAAATCAACTAATTCAATAATCAATTAACTTTGCAAATTTGGAATTAATTTCAATAATCATGATAATTAACATTCTTAATCGGAATGAATCAAATTAAATAATATCTTTGGAACAAGGAATTGATTGTTGGCAGGAAATTCTCGTCCACTGTGATCGTAAATATTAATACAACCTTCACTTGATACGAATTTTAAATTTATTCCTTAATTGTTGTTATTTATTCTTGATGAAACTTAATGATAACAATTAAAAACCCATTTTCTTGTAGAAGAAAAAAAAATTTTATCATTTACTAGTATAATAAGAAACAATTAAATTACTCGGATTACAATTAGAAAGGTTTCGATTTACATTGAGATTGATTCCAATTTCAAGTAACAACTAATTTCTCAAAGCAATTAGATTGTGATGGTTTAATTGTTATAATCAACAGGAAGGAACAGAGTAAATAACAATGAGAAAATTTTCTTAATCATTAAAATACATTCGCTAATTGTTGTGTATAGATGGCGCTCGAAAAGATGAGAGAGTCGATGTCGAATAGAATTTTTTTTTCTCTCTCATTTTTACTCCTCACTTTTCATTTCTATTCTATCCTCATCATTATCATCATCATCATCATCATCTTCATGATTAACTTTCGATAATAAAGACAATATTAATTTCTCAGTGTGCTGATTCCAATTAGCTTAATGGATTTAAATTGTTTGAAAAAAAGTGATTTAAAATTGAGCCAATATGAAGTAACGGTGATTTAATTAATTGTGAATTTAATTTGTATTGTTCCGTTTTTTTATCATCATTATTTTTTCTTGATTAATTGCTCAATATCACGATTATCATCTAATAAGAATCAACATTTATCTTGATTGTGATTTCCAATTATTTACTTGGATTAACTCAAATTCTGGATTAGTGATTTAATTGTTTGGGTAAAACTTTTTTCCTCATCACCAATTGTGCCAATTAGTTAATTAGTTAACTAAATGTGTTTCCAGTAACTTGATTACCTGTTAATTTTGTTTAATCATAACGTTGAGATGAAATTTCAACAATTTATCAACTCTATTTGGTTAATTAATTGTTACCTTACAATACAATTAACATTAACAATCATACCAACAGTTAACACTTCCAATAAATTGTCATCTAATAATCAAGGTAAATAAATATTAACTAAATTAACTGATTGAAATAATTTAACAAAATGCTTATTAAACTATTGACAATTTCAATAATTTAGCTTAATGTTAAATTAGTGTCAAATTAATAAGCAATAAGATTAATTTTCCCAGCAATTAGTGAAAATTTTAACAACATTCATCACAGAAACAACAACAACAACAACAACAATTAGCTAATTGTTAATCTTTCTCAGCTAATTGTAAACCAATAATTTGCATTATTTTTCATAAAGTAATTAATTATATTTTTAACCATCTTGGATTACAATTAATTAATTATATCAATTGATTTTCCCATATGAAATTTTCACTAATTGTCAACACAAATCGCTTACCAATTGACTTTACATGATGAGAATTGAAATAATTTGCAATAAATTAATTAAATGATTCAAATGATTGTTCTTGATTGTTAATTAATCATGAGAATCATAAGAAAGTTGATATAAAAATGATTAAATTGTAATCACTGTAAAGGAATCAGAGTTAATTTCAATTGTTTAAATTAACAGAGGAAACGGATTTAGAGTAACAATCAATGATAATCAGTTGATTGTTACTCTCGAGGTAATAATTTATTAAATTGCGTGACAAACAGTGATTTAGATTGTAATCAAAAAGTAAAAAACTTTGATCATTAAAAAAAATGAGAGAAAAACAAAATTAGAGGTTACATCCTATTGAGAGCAATTTAATTTAACAATTAAATCTAAAACTGACCAAACAATATAAATAATACACACTAATCAGTTAAGAGTAACAATTAAGGTTTAATTTGATAAGACAATTGAGTCAATTACAATTAAGATGGATGACATTTAGATTAGTTTAAGGTTATGATTATATTACTTGATTGTTGATTAATAGTCTTGTTGATTAAATAAATTGAGACATAATGATTATTATCATGATCAGATGATCTGAGCGACAATTGATTAATTATTTTAATAATCTTGATCCAACAATTAACCAAAACCAATTAACCATTAAGGTGCGGTTACAAATTTATAATCATAATTGTCTAATGATTGATTTGTTAACAATTAGCATCCAAATAATTAAGAGATGATCATTGAAATGAAATTTATTCAAATCAATTGGTATTTTAATTATCAACCAAAATGATTACAAAATCAACAATCAACAAAAGTAATCAACAATTGATTGTTGTTGTGATTTGTAGGGTTAGATAGACAAATCTAAATATGATTACCAAATAAAAGTAAACAATTAGTTAATTGTCTCTTAGAAAGTTAAAGGTTAAGGTCAAATGTAAGACGACAAAACAATCAATTTAAAAGTTATGTCTACAATTAAGCCGATGATTAAATTATTTATTTAAATCTCAATGAAGTTAAGCCAAGTAAAAAGTTTCCTAATGTTTACAAAGAGCAAGTTTCTTATTTCAAATTGCCTGAGGCTATTAAGTTTCAAATTATAATCAAAGTTTTAAATTATCAACTGTCTATTTATCATCATGCTCATCCTTTATTTTCTTGGTTTAAACTTCAATCAATTTGATATTATTGCCTGAAGATGATATTTATTTATATCATTCCAAATGAAATGTTTAATGAGGGGAGAGAGAAAAAAAAAATAGTTAATTATATTTACAATTAGAATTATCTACATTAGAGTTAAATTAAGATGGCGAGAGTTAATTGTTAATTGTTGTTTACAATTGAAAACTTTTTCTTTTTCTACACTTATTAGATATTGTTCCTCTTCAGGCCTTAAATGGAACCAAAAGTCGATTAAATTGTAAATACGATTTGGCCTCGAACGATTCGGTCACCCTAATCTTATGGTATCGTAAACACGATGCCACTGGTCCACCTTTTTACACGATCGATGCTCGAAACCGTTCATTGGCCTCCGCTGGACACGTAATCTCAAGTGATAAGTATACTGGTCGAGTTGAATATGATATCAATCAATCACAATTAATAATTAATCCAACAATCGAGGATGATGGTGGTAATTATACTTGTCGAGTTGATTTTAAAAATTCACGAACACGTTATACACTTAATCGTCTACAAATTCAAGGTAAATATTTCCAATCAATTGTAACAATTAAGATGATAAATATGAAAACAAAATTATCATGTTAATATAAATGTTAAAAAGCTGATTGATTGATTGTTATGACACTTGTGAGTTAATTGTTTAGCCTGATTTTGATTTAGTTAACTCAATGTGTAACTTTAGGTAAAGAGTCATCAGTAAACACAATTAGTATTATTATCGTTCAATTTGATTATAATTGTAATCTTGATGGATAATTATAATATTCACTCAACCATAATATTGGTGTCATCGATTAAATTTCATAGACATTTGAACAATTAACCAATACGATATGTAGATTAATACAATTAATCTTGGCCAATCTCTGAATGAAAGCCCAGTGGAAACAACTAACTAACTAACTAACTAACTCGGATTTCCAATCTTATCAAAAATAAGGAAAACATATTAATATAAATCAATGGATACATGGTGATCATGGTAATCATATTTCATTCTCGTGCCCATGAAATTGATACTTAACACACAGAAAAAAAAGAAAATACTTGAATAACAAAACAGAAAAGATTGAAAAATGATAATTTCTCTTGAACGAAATTACAGAAAAATAATATTATCTCATTCGGATGTTATTACAAAGGTAAAAATATTTATCTCTTTGAAAAGAATCAAATTTCCAGGAAATCGTTTTAATCTAATGCCCAGAGAGAGAGAGAGAGAGAGAGAGAGAGAGAGATCATCTTATTATTATATCCGTTTTAATAATAAGATAATCATCTTGTTTCATTCATTTTTCACCCTGATTTTCATATTATACTTTTCCCTTCATTCATGTTGAAGTTATCATATTATTTTTCAACTCCCTGTCCACACCTTGAATATAATTAGATGCCCATTCACTTGGTATTACCTATTTGGTTAGATAAATTTACTTATCATTAATAATAATTTTTCTCAGCTCTCTTTTAATATTCCTGTTTCAATTATTGATATAACTCATTATTTCATGAGATAATCCAATGAGCTTTCAAGATAATGTAATTATATTTAACACATTGACCTTAATAACGATATTAATGGTTAACTATTATTAATAGATTATCAATTTGGTTACAAATGATGATGATTGTTACAAGAGGTGAAGAACTTTTTATAACCAATAAAATGAACATTCAACCATGGGCTTGTTTTTTTTTGTTGTTATTCTGTAAGTTTCTCATGATAATAGATTATATGTTTCTCCCCCAATGAAAATGAACATTATCAATGAATCAATAGTGAGATTTATATTTATACTGATGATGAGACATTATTTTCAGGTGAATGCTTCTGTTTTTCACCATGAAAGTATTAGGATAGGAAAAGGAAATCTGTTGATGAAATTTGCTGTTTAGATCCTCTTATCATTCACTGGACCCTAAATTTTTACCTTGACCATCTCATCTCATTAAGATAATCATTATGATGATGACGATTATGGTGATGATTATTTATCATCATCTTCGTCAATGTGATCATTTTGTGAATAAGATTTTGCCTCTCCTTCTTTACCTTTTTTTTTATTTGTTTATCGATTATCAATCCATTGATTGGCAAAAGGATAATATGAAAGGATTTATTGGTATTATTGAATTAGTGGATTCGGTGTTAAAAAGTCTAATATAAAGATTATCAAGCTCAAGAATCTGTGAATCAATGAATAGAATTGGATGATTATCGTGATGAAAGTAAGCCAATCAATCATGAAAATTGTCTATTCCAATTCAATCAACCTGAAGATGAATCTTATTCAAATTATTATCAGTTACACTTTGTGATAACTTTTCCTCACAAATTGAAGTCTCAATATTATTACCAACAGAACTTGGAACAATATTTGATATTATATTCTTTTGGTATTGATCTTATTCATAAATTCATTAAGATTTCGAATCGTTAGATGAATAATAAGCTCATTGAAAGTTCTAAGTATAACCGAAAAGTGTTGATATCCATTCATGATTGTCCGGTAAGTTCTTGGAAAAGAATGAACGAAAAAATAACTGACCAGAACTCTAACCTTTCTTGACCAATAGTTACCAAAGAAACTGAAGATGATAAATTTTCTGTTAGTTTTATACTGATCACCACAAGAACCTTGAGAGGGAAAAATATCCATCAGAAATCATTTTCACTCTTTTCGATCATCTCTCTCTCTCTCTCTTTTTCTCTTTCTTTCTCAGTCAGATATAATCATGATCCCATGAAATCACGTTCGAAAAATAGAATTTGCAACATAAAAAAAAAGTTCTCTTTCCATTTTGTAATATTATCATCATTTCCAACACAAAATCAATCCATGTAACCATAATCATCATCACGATTAATGTTATAATACTTATAATACACAGAATGATAATGATAATATACTTTTAATAATAAATAGACGGGACATCAAATACTAATGTTAATTGTAATCATAATAATCAACCTCTTGTTTGGAAAAAAAAGTTTATTAGTTTTTTTTGTTCATGATACTAAATTTTATCCTCTCTCTCTCTCCATGTTATCTGATTATCTGCTATCAATGAGTTATCATGATAATAATTATTATTAATATTGATAAGTATTCATGGTTAAAGTTGTGGTTTAGTTTTTGCCTTCATTCAAATGTTTCATTCATTATATTAAATTGACACACAGAGTATTTGGTTTACAACTGATGAATTATTTGACTGTTCATTTAGGATAATCATGTTGATTATGATGATCTTGATTACATTCAATCATTTCTGAATACCCACTTAATTTAATGTAATCAATCAAGTTAAACTGACAAAAATTAAAGTTGATATAAATGGTCAAATGATCAATCAGCCAATGTGTTAACATGGTAAATTGTTTGTAATACTTTCAACATTTGGTTACAATCTAACAATATCTTAATTGAAGTTAATTAAGATTAAATTTGATTGCTCCTAATTTGATTCAACTGTTTTTCTAATTCTTTTAATACCATTCAAAGTGCCACCCAAAAATCTAGTGATAGAGGAAATGAATTCTGGTAAAATCTTATCCGATAAAGTTGGTCCTTATAATGAAAATTCAACATTAATCTTATCCTGCCGAGCTTATAAAGGTAAGTTAATCATTAACTAATTAGCTTGATTGTTACCCATTATCAAGATATCACTTTTGATTACTCACTAGACAATTGAATGATAATCATATTTGATTGTTGATTAGTAGTAGTTTATGATTATTTTTTCATTACAATTTCCATATAAATATAACTGTATAACATTTCCAACGAAACTTTATCGAAGTGATGAAAATGTATTATCTAAATCATTCAAGTTGAAATAATGCTGAATTGGGAATGAAACTGTATTCTCAATGGAGTTATCAGTTCGACCCATTCTCTGTGTTCCCAGGAAAGACTCAGTAACTGACCATCATGAAGAATCTGTTATTATATCAGTATTTTTATTTCCTTAAGTTGGTTGGATGGTCAGTTTTTTTTTCTCTCTCTCCCCCTCTATTTTGTCACCATGTCCCCTAATTCACAGTGAATTAAATTATCTTGTTTTCGTTGAAATGTTGAGACAATTAGCTGACCATCGATAACAAGAAGTATAATGATGAAGAGAGAGAGAGAGAGAGAGAGAGAGAGAATAGGAAAAAACCTTAGTGACCACAGAATCATTCTGAATATATTCAAACAGAATTAATTTTAATTCATCATTATTCAATCAACTACTGAATATCCTGAATTTCCCATGAGCATTTGATTCTGATAAAATAGCAATTAGACGAAATTCGTATTGTATGTCACAAGCAATTTGTTTATCATCGAAACCATTACCATCATTAACATTCAATGGTCAAAACAATGAGAAGATTATAATTTAATTTCAATTGAGATAATTCAATCTATTAAATCATCAAACCAATTTACCAAATTGTTTTCAACTCAATTCCAAACTTTTCCCTGATCCTCTCATCATCAAATCAATTGAAATTGTCCATCTAACAACAGAATATTTAACTTGATAAATGGACTAGATTAATGTGTTGATTATCTTATCATGAACATTATCTTGTTATTCATGATGATGAATTTTTTCTTCTTCTATTCTACTTTTTTTTTCAAATCAATCAACTTGGATAACATTATCTGGACAGATAGTCAATCTAATCTTAACCTTAGCTTTTTGTTTCTGTTTTAATTTTACTCATCACTTCCGTTTCCCTTTAATGGTTATCATTTATCAAACTTTTAATATCAATGAAAGTTAATGATATTCTGTCCTTGAAAATACATTAAAGTGATAGTAATAATTAAATTTCCTGTTGTAATTTTTTTATCATTATGATACATTGAATGATAAACTAATTTGTTTACAATGTTACTATCATTATCTTATTCATTTATCAATAATTAGATGTTTACTTTTAAGATATAAAATGTTAACTTGTCAATCATGAACTATCATGGAAGTTGATAAACTTTGATTACATGAGAGATAATTTTGATATTTTTTTTCTAACTTAATTGTTTATGAGAATATGATAATAATAATCACATAGAGATAGATAGAGACAGAGAGATATATATTGAAGATAATATGAATTATATTATATGATAGTAACATTGTTGTAATGATGATCAGTTAAACTTTTGCGTGCCTACCACTAAATGGGTTTCAGCTTGAGGGTAAATTACATGAAAGTATATACATGTTATTATTATGATATTCCGGTTGTTATCTGAACTGAATTTTCAATCAAGTTTCATCTAATCATAAGAGAATGATGATCATCATGGGTCATGAGGATGATGAGAATGGAGAGATGATAATGTTAGTCTTATGATTTTGATTTAAGATTAACAAGTTTAGACAAAGGTAGATGAATGTATGAGAGAAAAAGATGAGAACGAACAAGCAAAAAGTTCTGAATGATATTCGTGATCTGAGAAGTAAAATGTTATCTCCAAATGGACTTTAGACATTTTTCTCTTCTTCTCTTGGAAAATCATATTTTCTTCCAAACATCTCTCTCTCTCTCTCTCTCCCTTTTAATACTGAATTTTTGACCCGAAGAAAATGAACTTTGCATGCAAGAGAATCTTAAAAATTCTGAGAGTTCTGTAAATCTTTGTTTATCAATTTTTTACAAGACAAACTTTCTATTCATGATAATATTTTCACTCCTTGGTAAATGAATGAGATACAATTAGATTTACATGTCAATGTATGAGTTTTACCAGAGAAACAAGCAAAAGTAAAGTGTAACTTTCAATATGATTACATTGGAAAAATTTCTTCTTCTTTATATCAAAAAATATTCTCAATCCATTATCATAGATTAACTGTCATTATTTAATAGTAACATGAAAGATTATTCAGATTCCAAGAACTATGATTAATTATTATCAATCTTTCTATTGGATTTTATCCAGAGCAAAACAAGTTGAATATTCAACTTTCCATGAGAACAATTTTCGAAAACAAAAAAACAAATTTGAATTCTCACTATTCAAGTTATCCTTGAATCTAAATTGATTGGCAATCAATCGAATTTGAGAAAAGATAATTCATTCATTTCCATGCTCATTGTTGCCAGAATTAATTACCATCAACTAAATTTATCTCTTGGTAATTTGATTAGAATATAAAATGTTCACAATTGTAAAGTTCGTAACAGTTTTTCATTGTTGTTCGATATGTATTCTAATCTGAACACGTTAATTGTAAGAATCAAGTTGATTTTAATTGATTAAATTGTTGGATTATTTTGGTTTCCATCTGAGTTGAATGTTGATGATAACAATTTCTGTCCAATCTCTGGTCAAGTTGAATGATCAGGAAATTATCTTAAATTGTTTCTTTTCATTTTCTTATTTGTATGGTCAATTTGACCAAGCAAAAAGCGAAAAACTTTTATTCAATTGTGATGAATGGTTGGTAATCTGGAGAGCATTTTCCTTGACAGAATCATCTTTAGCTCTTCATCTTCATTATTGTCATCATCTTTCATCTTCATTCTTGACTTTCTTTTTATTGTAAACTTATTATGCTGAAGATCATCAATTGATCGAGATGTAAACAACTTTAATAATAATAATAATAATTTCTTTGTCTTTTTCTTATGAGAGAAAAACAAAACAGTATTGTTTATTATATAAGTTCATGGAGAGTTCAGAGAAAATTTCATGGAAAAATGATGAACTGAATGCTGAATAGTGTGAATATACAATTCTTATTTTGATTATTTCAGAGTTTTTTTCTTCTTTCGTCAAATAAAATCATCTAGAAACTTTTATCATGATTAACATTTTTACCTTTTGTTCCTGAACATTATCCATGAACTTCATATTCATAAATAGAGATATTGTCATGTTAGTGTTCTGGTTATGGTGAAATAAGAAAACCACCAAGTCAACATTTTCTCCTTCCTGTTATCATAACATCTTATGGAAATAAGAATTTTCTGTATAATTGAATTTGTTCCTATTCTTTTTCTATTTATATTCTATTTCAGGTCAACCTCTTCCATATCTCGAATGGTACATTGGTGATGTTCCAATAAAATCAAGTGAATCTCGTTACGATGAAATGAAAGAGGAAACTTATACTCGACTAGAACTCTTTTTGGAACGGAAATATGATAAAAGTCAAATAAAATGTGTTGCCAATTTAAAAGACTTTTTTCCAGTTCTGGTTACAGAGATAACTATTCAGCTCAATTGTGAGTATCTTTATCATGAAAGAACATGTAAAATTCAGAATTAGAAGGAGAGAAATTTGTGTAAACAATAGATTCGAAGATATTTAGTGTTGAATGTTCAGTCCGAACTATTCAAGATTCATTCATTGATTGCTATGTAAATTTCTTACTCTAATGAACTCTAGTGGCACCATTGAACACATCGATACACTTTTATAAGCAAAACTTTCTCGTTGGTGACATTGAGCTGATAACATGTCAATCATTTGGATCCAAGCCCCAGGCCAACCTAACATGGTTCATCGAAGACGAGGAAGATAATGATGATGACAATGTACCCAGAATTGGAACGTAAGTTTGAGTCTTAATTCCCAATTATGAACAAATAAATGTTCAATTGGTTGCTGGCTGAATGAATTTTCCTACGACTTATTGACATAAAACTGACGATGAGATGATAACTACGAATAATGAAATTCAAGGTTGGCTCATTTTCTAACCCAAAAATGACCATCAGAAGAAAAAAAAGTTCCGAAGATATTCAAATGATCACTAAAGAGTACGTGTCCATTAGTCTCTCTTTGGTGTGGTCTCTTGGAAGAAAAATGCTATTAAAAAATAATTAACACAATCGATGGCTAATTAACTGTTAACATTGATTTTCTTCTGGACAAAATAAGAAACATGGTGATAATGAGAATCTTGACCTTCTATTGAGTATTCATAATGGAATCAGAATCCGATTATTCATTAAATATTCTAATCAAGTCTCTCATTTATTCGATCATTCTCTCTCTCTAAATCTTTCTTTCTAATATAAAATATACTAGTAGTTCATGAAAGAAGATAATTAACTCATTTTCATTTGAACAATAAACTTTTCTTCCGTTTCCATTTTCATGGTGAATACAAATTCACCTTTACTAATGATACAATAGTCGAGGACAACATTACCTCATTAATATCATGATAGGTTAACAATCAATTTTCAATCTGTTGGAAACAATAATGATAATAATGATTAGTACGTTAATTTTCAATCAGAGTTACGTTGATATAATGGTGAAAATTGAAGTTCTCGAGACAAAAACTTTTTTACTTGGTTTTCTATGGGACAGTAATCACTGTTAATGGTAGAAAATTGTGAGTCAAGAATTTAGATTGACAGTGGAAAGAGATAAAAAAAAGTATCCATTATATTCCTGTAATCATGAGACTATTAATGTTATCCCATTAACTGAAAAAGGAGAGAGAGAGAGACAAGGAAAGTTACATGAGTTTATCATGCATTGAACTGAACTGAATAGCTGATTGACACTCTAAATGATGTATAAAGGAATAGGAATTCATTTCGACTCATTTGTTTGACCCGACGTACTATTATTATATCGTAATCATTTTTTATTCCATCAGAGTCAATCGATTCAGTAATTCAAGAATTCTTAATCAGAATTTCTTTTCTCCTTATATTTACTTTACATCTCTCTCTCTCTCTCTCCTCGATCTCTCTTGAAAACGAAGATAAATTATTAGAAACAATGAAAGAGTAACAATCTAAATGTAATAGAAAATCAATGCTATTATCTATTGGAAAAAATCTTCCCCCTGAAATATTTTAATGTTATCGAGATTTTTAATGAGAATCTATTATCACCTGAAATAAATAACATTTTCTATTATCATGAACCGATAAACTCTAATAAGCTTGTGAGGGTTTCAACTATTTTCTCAATGATTTTGTTCATATAATTGAATAGAAATGAGAAATAATCATTCCCTGATAATGATGATGTTCATGATAATGATGATACTCTCATGTTGAACGTTGGATAATATTTTAAAATGATTTTCCTATCATATTTTACCATCCAAGAGTGAAAATTTCATCTCTCCTTTTGGTGTATTTATACATGAATCTAGAAGCAAATTGAGCTTTATCATTTTTCATGATGATGATAATGATTCCGTTAACAATAATGATTCTTTATCCTGCTGATGGGCTAGGATGAGAAGCTAATAATTCTGATGAATGATAACCTCAAATTGTAACATTTCAAGTTAATATTAAACATTGTCATTCAAAAAAAAAATGAATAATCATCATCATCATCATTCTGATTCTGATTCTGATAACATGATAACAAGCACCAAGAGTTAAACCTTGAAGATAGAGAAAGTTAAATTAATGTTAAAAGCTTCAAGTGAAAAACTTTCTTCCCCTGAAACTAATTGAACACTGAATGTTAATAACAAGAGATAATTTTCTTGCATCCAGAATTTTATTCATTTAATATTAAGATAATCATTCATTTCTCATTCAGAATGTTATTATATCTTCTCCATCATCATATTCTAATGCTAGGTATTAACTCTAAGTGTCCTTATGGATGCACAAGAATTGAAGAAAGGTATTCAAAAGGTATCAATTCTTTAAGGAGCATCTTCATTCACTGAGATAATTATCATGATAGTATTAATATAATCTCCGTTAAGATTAATTTATTGATCAGATATTCAATCAACATGAAATTATTATTATCTAATAGTAATTAAGATATCATGTAATTCTGATTCCTATTAATGGGGTTTAGTATTATTATTATTATTATTATTATTCAGCTTTACTCCTACAACTCAAGTGATTCATTATCGTTGCAACAAGTTTTTTTTCTTACCTTTTCCATGTTGAGTCTGATTGAAATTATCCTGAAATAGTTGAGTTCATTGATGATGAAGGATAATAAGTTATTCTGTATCTGAGATTTTTTTATCTCTCATCATGATGAAAAAAAAATGGATAAAGAGCTCAGAGCATTTTCCTTAATAAGCTTTCAGCAATTTGATCTTACATAATAATTAATATAATTCATCATATTTCCATTCTAAGAGCTAATTTTGAGCTTCAGACCCTTTGGGCAAACCTCTATGCAAACAATTCAAATTTTCCACCAAAATTCAGTCAGAACTTTTCATTATTGCCATGAAATTTTTTTTATTCTCATCAGCATCTTTTCAATCATAGAATTCAAAATCTTTCAACTATCACCGTCTTCCTTTTACCAAAATTCCGTTTATTTAAATAACATCAAATCGACCATAGAAATGACTACAATTAACTTTCACTTATTATGATAGTAACTTATATGATACTTACATTGAGTACTTATCAAATCAGATCATTAGTCCGACTGGTCAGTTTGATTAACTGGAATCAATTCTGGAGATAATATTTTATCATAAAGTACATGATTTATTGATGTTTCCAATGAGAGAAATGCTTTAATTGATTGGATAAAGTAGTGACTGATACAAATAATAATATTAATACGACAAAGATAATGGATAAAAATGGATGGAAATTGCTGCTTTAACAATTGAATAGAACTCAAGTTAGGAAATGACCAATCTCAATGTCCAGTAAGTTGTATTGATGATCTAATTTCATGAATTGGATGTGTGAGAACGTTAATTCATTATAATCACAAGCTGTTGTTGTAAATTAAACTTTTTACTACTGAATTTGAATATACAGGGGGTGTTTACACTAATTAATCAGATTTGATTTGGAATAACTCGTAAACTAAGAGTCGCGGAAACAAATGGATGTGAAAAAAGATGGACCAATTGTCAGATTATATTTTATCAAATTCTTTAATACTAACACCAAAGTCCTAAAACAGCTAACAAAGTTGCTATTAATTGTCGATCAACTGTCGCGAGAATGAATTTTCAGTTTGGATTTGACCTATGTCCTGAAAGAGGTTCTTGTTTATTATGATTGACACTTGATTGATTGGTAGAGATCAGGGTGAAAGCAGTAAATAGAGTAATTAGTTTAATTCGATGGAGAGAAAATGATTAAGAAGGGAAAAAGGCAAATCGATGTATTTTTCTTGCGATATTTTGTTAGTTGGCAGAACTTTTTTTTACTAGATTCAACCAAGAATAGATCTTCAAGAATCATATCACTCTTCCGATATTATTAAGATATCATGATGAGTATAATAACTGTATATTAGATAATAATATAATTCTATCTGAATCTTTTTCACTACTTACATGATGATCAGCGGTGTCAATTATCAATTTTTCTGACCAGTTCCCACCCATTCAATGTAATATCCTCAACTCCTCCCTTTCAATTTTATCATATTATATTTATCCATTATCATGTTGTCCATTTTTTTGCTGTTCCTCATGAAAACAACAAACTTTTCATTATGATCAATGTGATTATGGTTCAATCATAATTCACCAAGTAAACATGAATTACAATTTCCAATAGTTATAAATGAAGGAGAAAAGTTCTGAATGTTATCGTGAAGGGAGAAATTTTTACTTCTAGTTAAGAATCGTTGGAATCTTGTTCATCTACGTGAGCTGTTATCATCAGTTCTGTTTCTTTAATGATTCAACAATGAGATTTTCATCTTTATCCTCATCCTTTACTCATCTTCAACTGGAATCATCTCAAGGCAGGAGAGGAAGAGAGAGAAAAATAATATTATCATTCAACTTTCATGGCTTTGATTCTGTGTTGAGTTTTTGTGGTGAACATATGTCTTTTTTTCATTTCTACATTATAATTCAACCAGAATTCATGATAATCTGAACAAATCTCCAATCCAACCTGATAGCTTATTGTTTTTATAACGATCTCAAAAACCAAAAGTCTTTATCATTTTATCAAATAGTTTTACTACTTTTATCTCTCTCTCTCTCTCTCTCTCTCTCTCTCTCTCTCAGTGTCTTTTCATCCTCATCATCTTCCTCTCCATAATCATGATCATCAAAATATATCTCATATTCTTCACCTCTATGCCAATAATAACTAGATTTTTTACTCGAGCTTTCGAAATCTTTGAATAGTCTCAATAAACTGAACACATAGAAAAGAAAAAAACTGAGAATTTCAAAAAATATATGAGTAAGGAAGTTTTTTTATCTCTCTTCCTGATGAAAATTCTGTAGGTTACCAGGGTTATATTCAGTTTCGTTTTTTATATTATTATTATCGCCACTGATTCTTGTATCTCCTCCCATTTAATATTATCTGTTATTACACATAAACATACACACAAAAGGTATCATGTTTATTGTTCATGGATATTTATCATGAAATAAATATTCATTGTTGAATGTTTCATCTTCATCATTCCACTTTTGAAATCAACTTTTTCGCTTGAAATTTTCTTCAACCTTTCCATGTTATTACATTTAGTGTTCAGCTGATTCTTAATTCAGATAAAAATACTGAGAGAGAGAGAGAGAGAGAGAGAGAGAGACATCAAGTTACATGAATATCATGGAACAGAAATATATACACAAGGAATTATTACTTGGAGACATTTAATGGAATCGATTGTATTATTGACAAAAGTCACCATTATGAATAAGTGATAATAACTGAAGATTTTATCATGAAAAACAGAATTTCCATCATGAACTGAAATTGTCGTTATAATAATAACCATCGACATTAGAGTGATACTTTCAGCTAATCATATAAGTGGAAAATGTTGACCTAATCATGAATTTTTAATCTCACCTTTCAAATAGTATTTCTTATTATCATGAATTTAATGACTGTTTATCATTCATTTACTATTATTTTCATGGTATTTACTTTGTTGACATTTTCCTTTTTTTCATTTACTATTTACCGTTATAGTTTCAATCTCTTTTTCCCTTAGTGACAAGTTAATTCTAATTGCAAATGAGACAGAAAAACATTGAGAGTCTCATTCATGATAATAAGATATTTGAGAATAATTCATGTTTATTCTTGTATCAGAAATGTTGTTACCTTTCAGTTTAATAACATTGTAACTATTATCAGAACTTTAAGAACTTGAATCAACTTGTTCAGAATTTTTTTCTCCTCATGTTCTCATCTTGTTTTTCCTCTCCAATGAATTTTCCATTGCTTTATTATATAAGAAAACAGCTCAAGATTATATCATGAATTTCTTAACCCTTTTCATCGGCTCATGTATTCATCAAGTGTTAAGATGCTCTTTACTTTTTCTTTGATTTTCATAGAGAAGAGCAAGAGATAAACATAAAGAGGAAAGAAACAAAAATCAAACATAAGACCCGAGAATCTCAGAACTTTTCTCAGAATTTATGCAATTTCTATTAATGTTATTTCGTATCGAATTTCAAACATTTATATCCAACTAGAACCCATAATTTTGTGCAATTACCTTTTTCTCTTGTTCTCATGAATAAGAGAGATTCTGAATTCAGGGTGGAAAAAAATCAACTTCTCAAATGATAACATTTCTTTTCTAGTGATGAACCGATAATTACATTGATTTAAAAGTGATAATCAGTTAGATTAACTTATTAGAACTTTTTATTGATCGATAAATGTCACAGTCGTTATTTTCTCTGAATTTCTACTAAACTTTCACTAGAATTTAGATTATTCTTACCACGAGTCAATTAGTTACTTGGAACTTTTGAATTTTCTTTTTGAGAGTAAAAATCTGATTGGGAACTTTATTTTTCTTTATTTTGATTTGAAAAGATTTGAAAACTTTTCTTAGTTCGAAATTCAGACATTTTTAACCAACTATTGATTCTTAAAGGTAAAGTTTTATCCTTTTCAAGTAAAATAACATTTCTCTTATTTACTCTTTTCTACTGTAACAATGATCATAATAATATTTCGAGTGTTTATCAAGACAAACTTGTAGTCATTTAGGAAAAAGTGAATGGAGAAAAAGTTTCAAAGTGAAAAGAAAAAGTTACAACAAAAGATTATGTTTTCTTTGGATCAGTAAACTGATCATCAATTTTCATTTTCGAGAATAATAAAATGCTAGTACATACAATATATATATCGAAAATGTAACGAAAAAACTTACTTGTTCATTTAATATCTTTCGACTGATCCATGAAACCAGGAAAATCTATTATGTATATTTTCACATGTTCATCGTTTCATTCACCTATCACAATATAATCTCACTAAAAACATAATATATTTGATCAAAGTCAAGTTATCATGTCAATCGATCAGTATTATTACCCTTCGTTCATTATTTAAATACCAAGTTTACCTTGTTGATAATGTGAATATTTGACTGATTTGAAATCTATTTCCGTTTCTGTTATTCATTTCTTTTCCCATCTCACAGATCAACTTACAATGAGACCAATTTACTGACCACTAGTACAATCAAATACGATCCAACTGCAAAGCATAATGGTAAAAATTTAATCTGTAAAGCAATTAACTCGGCTTTTCCTGATCTTTCAAAGCAAGAGTCAATTTATCTTAATGTTCACCGTAAGTTTAATTGTAATTATTTCACTTAAATCCCTTAATCCAATTTCAATTGTATTGAATATCCACAAGTTATTCAATCATCTTCATTTGATTCACTTATTGGATATCTGACTCAACTTTTACTATCACATCGATCAATAAGATTATCATAACCTTTGAACTATCATAAGGAAGATGATTTGAAATTTCAATGACTGAATAAAATTCAGGGAGAAACTTTTCTTATCGTTTCGCAGTTAAACTCTAATGTTTTCCAAGGCAAGGAAGTAACCATTAGCAATACATATTCTTGATTGATTTGGAAAATTTGAATAATAATAAATCAATGAATATTTATTTCGATGTTCTGATTAATTTGAGCAAAACTGAACTTTCTCAGAGCAAAAGTTGTGAAATTTTTTCATGGATTTCAAGTTGAGGAGTTTTGTTTTTCTTTGTCACTTTCAGGAAATGTTCAGCTATCGAAAAGTTTATTATTGTTACTTAATTGGTTGTGTGTAGTTAAAGTCAATCTACTATTGTAGATAGACGATGATGGAAATCATGTTGAGTTGAATTTCATGGTGGAAGAGATTGAGAAATCAATTTCGATTTCATGAGTTGATTTCAGTGGAAATTTCATTTCAATTTCATTCTTGTTCAATTCTTTTCAATGGACAAATTCAAACAGTAACCAGGAAATGAACCACTTCAAGTTGGACTTGAATGTTAGTACATTTTTTTGTCTCAAATTCTGTGAAAAACTCATTGGGAACATTTTCCATCATGAAATAGCCCTGTTATGATTAATCTCAATCCACTATTAGCTCTATCATCATGATGATCATTACTCATTTTCATTCAATTTGAAGCTCATTTTTATTTTGCCACTTTTTTCATTAAATTTAAACTTTCATATAAATCGACCAATTGTCATCATGATCATGGTAAATAGTTTTGTCCATGATAAGTTGAATTCTGAGTATATCTTATGATAGGTGAGCTGAGTTCCCATTAAACTATCACATTTCACACACCAATTGATGGTAAATTACTAATAACAATAATAATCTAGAATGAGAATAAAAATTTCATGATAAAAGGTAATTCTCATGCTATTATATTACAATAGAGTTACAGGTTCATTCATTTTCTGAGTATTCTGAATTTTGTTCATTTCTTTTACCGATTATATCATTTTCCAGGATTGAACTTTCAGGACGAATGTCACCATCAGACTATTATCATTGGTATATAACTTTAATCAACTTTTTTGTTATCTCTATCATTATCTGTATAGATTTCCATTGTTTCATGAACTTTTCCCTGTCTCTGCTGTTAAATCAAAGATTATATGAATTTACTATGAATAGTTCAGTCTGTTTATTCAAGTTTCATGAACGATGATGTGAAAAAAATAGATGATAAATCATTTGACATTAAACTTTTTTTTTCTTCATGAGGTTCCATCACATTTCATTCACAATTTAATCCATCTCATGTTCATCATGCTCATAATTTTTCATGAATTTTTTTGTTCCTTTCCACCTTGAATCTGATATTCATAAATACCCATTGTCATGTTCAATCAAACTAATCATTTAATGGGGGAAAAGAAGATCAAGTCTGCATTGGAATACGAAAATTCTGATGATTGACAATAAATGACCTCTAATCTTTTCAGAACTTTTCTGATTATATAATTTCAACCAAACGGAATTGAGAAAATAAAAAGTTTCTTTTTTTCCCTCTATCATATATATTAGATAAACCTAATGTTCATCTGACAATTTCTGATGCTGATCACGATAAAGATCATGTATTCAGGGAAGGAGAAATGGTTCGAATGATTTGTAATACAAGTTCTTCCAATCCTGGAGTAACTGACTACAAATGGTATCAAGAAGACAAGAGAATCTATTCTGAATATTTGAATGGTGAGTAAATTACAGTTTTCCGTTTCTCTCTCAACCTTTTCGATGAACAAAATGTTGACAATAATTCTAATACGATGAAACACCGACTAACATGATAAAGTGATACCTAAAAAAAGAGAAAAGTTGATGATAAAAGCTCAATGAATTCTTAGAACAGATGAAAATGTTACATTCACCTTCAGGGTGAATTCAAACTTGAACCTTCATACATCACAACCAATTTTGGATACGAATTGCAATAAGATATGTATCATATTTTATACTGTATTAATAGTTATGTTATCATCACAACTCTCACATGAAGATGAGAATCAACATAAATTAGTGTAAAAATTAAGAATCGAAAATCCGATTAATGTAATTAATCATTTTCCATATTCTTAATGAAATTTGACTGATCTCAATTTCATCATGAATTTAGTTTCAAGTTTATCATCTCATTCTTGAAACTTTTTTTCCGTTTGTTTACTAACTCGAATGTGATAACAACGATAATTTAATTCTGACTATTCAAATTGACGGAACAATGTGATTAATTGTCATCATTGCAACCATTATTCTCTAGACGCAATTAAAAATTTGCTAATTAACTTTGTAAATCAAAAGTGACATTTCAAATTAATCTTAATTAGTAGTTTATTAGTTGTTAATTCCAAGAGCTAATATGTGGTTAGTCAATTAGGTTTTATTTTTTTTTGCTTGTTCCATGATTTTGATAATTATCAACAGTTTACAAGTTTATATTCATTACTTTTACTTTGGTTGGTTATCCTGAATCTATCCATGAAACACTTCATGGGAATTGAAAGTGAATGAAAAACTAATCAGCAAATGAATGGATTACATTAAATAACGTTTCATGAGGATATCATACTAATCTTTGAATTAATAGATTAATGATTAGTTTACGTTAATCATGTAGCAAGAATCAGATGATGATGAATCATGAAAAATGAACAAATCTCGAGGTTCAAAATATAAATATATTGAACTTTCTCATTGTTGTTGTAACCAATTTATTGGAAAAGAGAAAATAAAAGAAGGAGAAAATTTCTCTCTCTCTCTCTCTTGATCAAATTGATGATTTCTTATTCTCTTCCAGCATCACTATCATCATCACCCAACATCATCATCTTCTCTTCATTTTTCTTCATTCAATGCTATTCTCATTCCAACAATCATCTATCAGAATCAAACTCACTTTCAATCTTTTTCTTTACTTTCACAAATTTACCTTCCTCAGTATTAGAAAATATCATACATCTAATACATTATATTACTTTCCACTTTCACCTCGTTTTCTTTAAAATTCTGTTTCAGATCTTCATCATCTTCTTTCTTTCTCTCTCTCTCTCCCATGAAATTGACTTTTTCTTTGCAACGTTTTCTCTCACCATTTATCTTCTCCCTGTTAAATATAATTCTTGTTTCTCTCTTTTATCATGATAACTTTTTCTCACCCTATGTAAGGTTAACCCTAATCCTTTTTACCTCTTTTACAGTTTTTTTCCTCCTGAGTTTCATCTCTCACCCTGAGAACCTCCCCAATCCTATCATGTTCTATTAGGTGAGATATCATGTTATTACATCTTTTGTAATGGAAATGCTATCATTAAAAGTATAGTCACTATTATTATGAATTTTTCTTTACTTTTCGTTGAAATTCTGTGAGTAAAATTTTTGAGAGAAACAGTTTATCGTTTCGACATTTCATCCCTCTAACTTTTATCTTTCATTCTCATCCTCTTTCTCTCTATCATTATCTTCATCATCTTATCTCATTTTCTTCTTCGTCCTTTTAATTGAAATTAACGACAATTGAAGTGATCTTGGAATAAGTACATTCTTATTTAAGCCTCTGTCACATCGCATTGGTTTTGTCTTGCAATTTTTTAAAACTCGAAATTCTCAAGGTATCATCATGAGTCCTGAACCATTCAGATGATTATCTTCATGATGAATTTCCTTCAGAGTCCAAAAAGAAAATTAAAGTTCTAAAGGTGGATAAGAAATGCTTACTTTCCTCGATTCTCTCTCTCTCTCTCTCTCTCTCTCTCTATCATGGTAACATTATTGTGACTAGAATATCAATATCTAGGGTTGATTACGAGTTGGAAAGAGAAAAAAATTCCTGTATCATTCCCCAAGAATATGTATTAATCTTTATTATCAAAATTTCTTGAAATCTTATAGCATGGAAAATTGAGATTGTTAATTAGACAATATCAGTCAATGATTGGAACCATTATCATTACTATTTCCATGAGTTATTGGAATCACATCAAGTTTTGATAATCTCTCTGAAAACAATTCTTTCAATTGAATTTCTTGTAATTTATTTTCATAGTTTCCATTGATCAGCCCAATGGTGAATGCTGAACAAATTGATTATCACAATTGAATTACTATTATCGTCTAAATCTAACCACAATTATCTTAATCACTTTTCAACGACAAAATCATTATCCCACAACAGTATTATCAATAACATAGAGTCTCAAACAATCAAATTAATGATATCAAACTAATAGGTTAGTTTTTTTCAACAAATTGAATTAAATCATTTTTTATTGTTATCAAAGTAACATTGACATGTTATCACAATCATCGTTTTTCCTGTTGACATAATTGATTAATTTTTATTGAGAATTCTATTCTGCTGAGAATTGAATTAATCCTTGAGATTATAATGATTTAGGATATTCTTAATAATAATGATTTCAGTAGTAAAAAGCAACAGAATAGCGAATCCTTCTTTCTTTTCTTTCTTTTAACTTTCTTTCTTTCGCAACATCTAAACCACTTTTTCGAGAGGGCCTCTCATTTCCTTTAATTAAGGTTATAAGGCTGTTAATCGCTCGATTTAATGAAGTCCACAAGCCAGCTCGTTAGTAACGTGTACGATATTTGTAATTGGCCACGGTTCAAATCTTCCATTCAATCTTCATTTTCATCTTCATCTCCGTCTTCGTCTTCGATTGGTTCTGTCTGAAGGTGATATTGATCAAATATCGCACCCGTTACTAATTGAGCTAGTGAATGGACGCTTGCTGAATTTTTCAATGAATTATCTAATGAATATTTCAATACAATATTTAATGAGCAATTGAATGAATCGATTATAATTGAAACAAATTATTGAATGAATTATTGACACTGGTGATGCTGGCTGAATAGACCGTTCAAGTAGAGTAACCTTACAAATTGGTCTTGAATCAGCTGGAGAGAATGTAACTGGAGTCGGGCTCTCAAGACCGATGACTATCGGCGAAGCTGGTCTTGTTGAACTAGTAGCTGAAGCTGTAGTTGAATTAATTAGTTGTGGATCAATAGGTGTCTCTGTTTGAGGATTAACGGATCACTCAGATCACATCACCAGTGGTTGAAGTAATTGAAGATGAGGATAAAGGCCCAGTGATAATACAAGATGAAAGTGAAGTAGTTGTGGAAAGTGATAGTAACAATGACGACCAGGAAAATGATCCAAGACAACCCATAAATCGTGAAAATTCTGGTCGAGCTATTGGACAGAGAGAGAGAGCGCAGAGAGTATCGAGCTCGTCAATCTTCAGTCGAAGCACTAGTTGCTTTTCTAACTGAACAAAGAGAAATTCTGGTTGACTATAATGAAGATTATCTAAATTTGGATGAGTTTGTCATTCCATCAACTATGAACGATGCTGTTATGACTATTGATCGTGTACAAGCAACTCATCGAGCTATCCTCAATCAAGGAGTTCACAATGTACAGGGCATTTCACCAAGTTTCCAACAAGTTTTTGTCGAATAAATTTTTTGTTTTTGAGTGTTGAGTGTTGAGACCCCATACTCGAGTTATGGTAGTTTGGGCCATACTCAATTGTCATATTAAAATATCAAGGTCATTCCGGTCATTCTGTTAGGATACGGTTACAAGGTCATTTTGTGGTCACAATCGAATTCACTTGCAATCATTAGGCTCCATACGAGTTTAAAACTTTTTGACATTTTTAGTTGCAGAGATATATCGGTCTTGATGAAGAATCCTATTAATTCAACTTTCATCAATTTGATTGTAACAAAGAGCGTAAGAGTCAAAAACATTTTCGATTTAGGTACATTTTGGTTTTTAAATTTGAATCGAATGTGACCACAAAACGACCTTGTAACCGTATCCTAACAGAATGACCGGAATGACCTTGATATTTTAATATGACAATTGAGTGTGGCCCAAACTACCATAACTCGAGTATTGGGTCTCAACACTCAAAAACAAAAAATTTATTTGAGAAAAACTTGTTGGAAACTTGGTGAAATGCACTGTATTGGGTTATTCTTGATGGGTGACTCAGATTGTAAATACCACATAAAACACTGTACATGAAACAATCATTGTCACATTCGATCGTTACTATACACTTTTTACTTATCAATTCCTGGGGTAACTTATTTGCAAAAAAACCTCCGCGATGTGGTTTATATTTTGCAATCCAAATAGTCATCTCAGGAATGTCCATTATCCAGAAACCACTCTTTTCAGTGAACTTATCGATTATCTCTTTCATCTCCAAGAAACTTTCATCTATAGAATGAAGAATATCAGTTGCTGGTAATAGTGATTTGAATATTGATGGAATATTTGTTTCGACTACTTCATCCATACCCACTTTTTGCGAACATCACATTTAAGAAAATCATGTATTTTACCGGACCTAGTTCCTGTAACGATGAGAGAAGTAGATTACAGTTGAAGGTGTATCCTTTTCAAAAGATCTATGTCAATTAATCCATCTAATTTTGATAAACACGAAAACTTTACGGAAGGCTGAATGTTTAAGAGTAAATTATGATAATTCCGATGGTCTAGCAATTCCATAATTGATTGTGATGAACATACATTTTTATGGGCATTGAGTCTGTATCTGTTAGAAAAATAATGTCTACAGGATGGGCACATGAATTTCATTTTTCTTTGTTTTTTGTTGGCTTAACTGTTGGCTGTTGGTTTTTTTAATATCACT